AATACATGCATCCTGAATTTCGGACTTCTGGGCATCACGCAATGCATACTGAGAAGGATCCTCCGAAAAAGTGAGCATCAAATGGAAATGTCTGATTTCCCATTGGGATGCATCTACTGTCAAATCCGATTTTTTCTAGTCTTGTCTAGTCTTTAGTCACTGGTTCTGATATTGTCATATTTTAGTTTTGGGATTTGGACATCATAATTGTGTGGTTGTTGGATGTCCTAACTGTGGAAAACGGCTTGAGAAATGGGCTTCGGAAGTTTGCAAACTCCATAACTGCAAAAGGGAATCAGATGTGTGTGACTGCAAACCTCTGTTCAAACTATTTCCCTTCCCAACAGAATTAAAAAAATAGTGAAGGCGAAGGCAACGGGCAGGACTGATCCACAGGAAAGACAAAAAAGGAAATCTTTGGCTGCCCAAGAAATCATCCCGAGTTTGCAGCGAACATTTTGTATTTGGAGCACCAAAACAAAGCAAAATTCTGATCCCTCGCTCCACATTGGTTATGAATTTAAAAAGTCAACGTCAAAGCGAAAGGCACCAACTGTTCGCCAAGAAACACCTTCCACTGCAAAGTGACCAAGACGTGATGTTGCTGTAAAGTCAGTCAAACAAGAAAGTGCGAGCTCAGCCTGTTTGTCTGCACCTCTCGCTTAACAAACAAGTGTCACATTTGGCTTTTTAGTTTTTCCAAACAGCAGTTTTGGATGTCATTTTTTGCAACATTTAAAATTGTTATCATTTTAAAATATTACATTTGAAACCAATGCTTGGTGTGAACAGACAACACTGATGCTTTTGTTTCTCTGGATATGGATAATTATAAACCAGTTTAGAATGAAACTGTACGAAAAATGTCATTCAGTAAAACAAAATGTGTCATTCAGTGAAATGGAATTTGTCATTTGGTGAAACAGACCTGTGTCTGTTGATGGTAACATTAAGCATTTAACTCAAACATATCTGCATTTCTTTTACAATTGTATTTGTATTATTTAACTAACTAGATTTGCTAATATATGAAAGTAATCATTTTCATTTTAAATAATAATCATACACATAAAGGAAATCAGGTTTGGTCGATTAATTAGTAATTATTCAAAAAGCAATTAGACAATGAATATATTAAAAGAAGTTTGTTTTCATCATTTTCAATAATATTACAATAAGTTATTTTAAATTTAATTAAATTTTAACAATATGTCTGTTGCATTGAATGACATTTTAAGACGTCTCTGGCTATAAACCCTTTTTGTAAAAGTTTTTTTTCAAGGGGCGCATTTTGCATGCCATTATTTTTTTCATTTTTTTAGCATTTGAAAACTGCAAAACGTCACTGACCCACATACACAGACTGTACAGAGGGGGGCTTTATATAAATAAACCATGACTCTCCCGCTGTAACTTGTGTAGTGGTGGATCATCATGTCCTTTGGGTCATTACCCAAAGCTCATGACTACAGGTGAGGATAGAACATAGATTGACCGGTAAATCGAGAGCTTTGCCTTTGGACTCAGCTCCTTCTACACCACAGCAGTCTGATACATTGAAAGCATCAGTGCCGACGCTGCAATGATCTGTCTGTCAATCTCACGCTCCATCCTCCCCTCACTCATGAACAAGACCCGAGATACTTAGACTCTCCACCCACCCGGAGAGGGCAAGCCACCTTTTTTCAGTTGAGAACCATGGCCTCGGATTTGGAGGAGCTGATCTTCATCCCAACCGATTCACACTCACACAGGTACTGGCCCGATGAAGCCAACAGGACAACATCATCTGCAAACAGCGGAGATGAGATCCTGTGATCCCCAAACTGGACCCCCTCCAGCCCCTGACTGCACCAGAATTCTGTCCATAAATACAATGAACAGAACAGGTGATAAAGGGAAGTCCTGGTGGAGTTTGGGGACAAGTCTGACTTATTGCCAGCAAATGTTACCATCAGGCTAAATTACACTTCAGATCTGCGGAGAGGTGACCAATAAAAAATTTAATTGAATAAATGCAAAACAGATTTTAGAGTTTTGGTTCATTTGGGCGTTTCACCTTTGGCACTGCCCACACCTCAGAGGCTCTCAAGATGGATACTTGTGAGTTTATGATCTCACAAACATGAAGAAAATCCCTCTTTCTGAGTAAGGTTAGAATACTTTGGGCAAAGCAATGACATGACAATGACAATGCAAGACCCTTCAGTGGAAAGGCTCCATAGTGAAGCTTTATTGTCTGTCTGTCTGTAAAGTGGTGTGATTTATGGCTCCTCTGACAGGTGAAAGACAGACAGGTGCAGAGCTGACAGAAGCAGAGGCCCTGTCCTGTCACTGGAGCAGAGTACACACAGGTTAAACTTTGGTTGGACATTTGCTCTCTGCTGTTGACTTAGAGCTGGTTTTATCACCGAACATTCTGTTTGTTTGTGGAGTTTAACACGTTGCATTTTCAGATGACCTCAAATCAATTCGCTCATGTTTTTACTTGTCTTTTTATTGGGAAAAATTAAATCTTCTTCACTTTTGAACCTTGCAGCAAAATAATAAAATTTGACCTCCAACTTTGGCCAGAGGGTGTATGAGATGAAAGTGCAGAACTGGTTTGTGTTAAATATTCATAGTTTGACATTAGTTTGTGGAAAAAGGTTGCAAATATAAGTACCGTATTTTCCGCACTATAGGGCGCTCTGGATTATAAGGCATTGAATGGTCAATTTTTGAACTTTTATCACATATAAACCGCAACGGACTATAAGGCGCATTAAACGAAACACAACAGTTAAGTCAGTCAAACTTTATTTAACGTGTTCACAATAAGACTCAACTTTGTTCAGTTGTAATGTGTAAACAATACTGTCTGAGACACTAAATTGTTAGTATATTCACAATAACTCATAACTGTTCAAACAGTTGAGCGATTACAGCGTCCAACACGCCCACATCCCTCTCGTCATTATCTGAGTCAGTGTGGTTACTGTTACCTGGCAGTTCAGTGATGATTCTGGTCTTGGTGAAAGCTCGGACCACAGTTGATACTGATCCTTAGCCCAGGCGTCCACGATCCATTGGCAGATCATGGCATAAGTCGCTCGGCGCTGTCTCTCTGTCTTGGTGAATGTGTGTTCATCTTCTCTCATCCACTGCTCCCACACAGCTCGCACTTTCACTTTATAACAGCCTTGAGTTTAAATTGGGCGTTGTAAGTGTGTCTCTTGACAGGTGCATTTTGATATCAAAAGGAATCACAGTAAGTATTATTCTGCGATGCTCCTGACTACGGGAGCTGTAATACTGTATGTGGTGCGGCTTTGTAGTTTACTAAAGTCGTACTAAGACACAATAAATTCATATATAAGGCGCTCTGGATTATAAGGAATGCAGTCGTTTTTTTGATGAAATTAAAGGCTGGAAAATATAGTACAACAATACAGGAAGTAGCACTGAGTTTTTAAACAGAATCACTCTACCTACTGTATTTCATCAACACAGAAAACTTCACCCAAAAGACAGTTTACAAACAAGGAAGGACCTTTTCTGACTCTTTATATCTTCATTTACCAAAATAGGTGTTGTCATTTATTATTATTAGGCTAATCATAACTATTGTGTAACTGAGACAGGTTTCGGCCCTTGTTTTCTTTATTGTTGTCATTTATATTGAGGTCATATGTACTTTAAGAATGAACATCACTAGACTATTTGAAAGGACAGAATCAGATGCCCTCCTTGTATCTCCACGGGGCAGACAGCTCTCTCAAACATTATTTAGCTCTACTTTAAGCCATATGTTTTACTTTATTAATATACAAAAGTAACAGTACTCTTAAGTAAAAGTTGTGGTCAATATTCCCACTGTAAGTCTACAAGTGACAAAAGTTGACAATGACAATGAGTTCATTTTGAGTTTCTTTTGACTTTAATATATAATTTTAGATGTAAAATATAGATCTTTTCAACGTGTACAATTGTAATTTGAATATAATGAATGATGAATATAGATCTTTGTTCATCACCTTTTTATTTTTGCTGCAGGTGAACCCTTATTTATATATAGATGAATACTGCCACCGCCTGGACAAAAAAGACACTGCAGTTTTACAACAAAATATTTCTGTGGCTAAGGGGGAAAAAAAGATTAAAATTATTTGAAGCTGGAGATTTGTGAGGGACTTTCCCCATTCAAATATATAAGATTTGCTAAAAGATATAATATTCAGATTTGAATTGTTGTTACTATAATAAGGATAGACACAAAAATGCAAATTATTTCATACTGTCAACATACTTTTAACACTTGTATACGTATAACAATAATTACTACCGTTTACCACTATTTTGGGGATCAACATTTAGTGTTCAGCTGCAGTCAAATGAAGCTCACTCAGGCTAGCAGTTACGGAAGCAAAGTTGGAGCCAAGATCCATATAAGGAATAAGAATTGATTTACGTTCAAAATAGTGGAATAAAAAACTCCAGGATCACGTAGAGCAGGTTAACACGAACATTTTAAGACCAAAATGAGGAGCCAGACAGCAGTAGTTACAAAAAGAGGGGTGACGCTTTTTCAATAGATGCATCCCAAATTTCAGACTTCCAGCAATGCATACTGGGAAGGATTTTCTGATAAAGTGAGCATCAAACCGCCATATTTGTTTTCCCAGTGGGGTGCGTCTATTGACAAAGCCGATCGTTTCAATTCTTTTGAGCCATATCGCTTTTGTTTCTGGTTATGATATTGTCTGTATTGTAGTTTTGGGATTCGGACATCATAATTGTGTGATTGTTGGATGTCCTATCTGTGGAAAACAGCTCGAGAAATGGGAAGGGAAACCATTTGAACGGAGGTTTGCAGTCACACAGATCTGATTCCCTTCTGCATTTATTTTTGGAGTTCGTACATTTCTGAAGCCCATAGTCTATGTTACACTGTACAATATATTACCCAAGTAGGAGTAAATTCAGCTTAAAATTAAAAAAAAGTACTTAACACATAAAAGTTTGAGAAAATGCATTACTTTTATTATTATTTTTTTGTATAAAATTGCATCACTTTCACTGAGCAATCTGGTTCACAATTCATCTCATTTTTTTTTCTACATTTCCATTTTTTTCCCCATTTTTATATAAATATCATAATCCACAGTTTACAAATAAGCAGCAACACTCCGCAACACCTCATATAAAAATGCCTCCCATCTCCTGAAGAGTTATGTGGTATTTTCCATTTAAAATTTACTGAACAAAAAAGTGACAAACATTATACATTATAAATATGTGAAATGATTTAGTGCCTGTAGCTGGTGTGAACAATTATTTTATACAAATGTTTTTCAATAAATAACTAGAAAGGCATTAGGTTTCAAAGTGCATTTCATTTTCCTAGACATTTGAGTCAGTCCTAGGCATTTATTATTAATTCATTGTTTTTGTACCAAATCAACTTCCCACTTAAAGCAACACAATTAGCAATACATTTTTCATTTTTGTGCAAATTTTGAAGCTCACAACGTTTGAAACTGCATCAAATTGCTTCATTGCCTGACCCCTTGTTCACCAAAAACGCACTGATTTTGGTGAACTTTATTTTTGACGATTTCAGTCTTTGAAAATCTCACAACTTTTACATCGTTTTTTGGTTGACATTTTGGTGCAGATTGTGAGCTACAGTCTTTTAGATATGACTCCAGCAAAGATCTCACACCTCAGAAACTGCACCAAAATGGATGCTTAACCTGAGACTAACGCATTTTTTGGGTGGACATTTTTGTGTAAATTTCAGTCTTCTAGATCCAACTTTTACTTTTTTTTTGAAATTGCACCAAATCACTTCATTAACAGAGACAAATGCATGGCTTTTGGCGGACATTTTGTGCAAATTTTAAGCTACAGTTCTAGATCCAACTGGAGCAAAAATCTCACAGCTCGCACCAAAATCGCTAAATTGTCACAAATAAGCATGATGTGTCTGGGAAACTTGAAAATCCTGTAATATTTAGTCAATTTTTAAAGCTACTCTAACTTCATTGGTGGGGAGCATGCCACGTACTTATGTCCGCGTAGATGTTATTGCTTTGTCTAGAATGTCCCGCAGTATGGCATTATACTCAGGTAGACAGGTAGATGATGCTGCCAGGCCAACTGACAGTTCAGATCTGTGGAGTGGAGGAATCTAAGTTTTTCATGATATTTTTGAGCACTAAAACACCTCAGAATTTAAAAGGTGCACAGTGCAACTTTTGCGGTGGAGGGTTTGAGATCTGCTTATCTCCTTGGAGACGTTATCGCTTTGCCTGGAATGTTCCATGGTATGACTTTAAACATACCCATCTAGCATTTATTCATTACAGGTGTTTCTCTTGCTCAAAAATACAACAGTTTCTTCTGTGAATAGGGGCGACTCTCCACAGATCTGAACTGTAATGTAGCGTAGTGCTGTAACCTGCTTGTCTCCCTCATGACTGATTGGTCCACAGTATAGGTTAAACCTTTCTAGGCAAATCAAAAACATTTCCATGAAGACAAGCAACTGGCGGACTGTCCACTAGAAAAGTTACACAGTGCACCTTTAAATAAATCCAACTCTATCCAAGTTTAATTGAACACTGTAGAGCATTCCAGGCAAATATATTAACATTAACAGCCCCCGCCATGGTTCCAGAAAAGTTACATGAAGCATCTTTAATGAGATTTTTACCTTGTCCAAACCTCATGTGTCCTTTCTTTGCTTCTCTATCTGCACGTGCACGAGTCCGCCACCATGTCCTCCAGCTCCCTGTACTCCACCTTCTTCTTGTGCACCACCAGGACGCTGAGGGGGAGGTATTTGAGCGGGACACAGGAGAGCAGAGGGACCTCCCCCAAGCCTAACCCGTGGATGGTGTTCTGGATCACGGCGTGGTTGGGGGAGTTGTAGCCGTAGGGCAAAACACGGGGGCAGTCTCCACGGCAGAATCGAGGGTTGTACATGGGCGGAGCTATGAAGTAGTGGCCCCACCCCAGCTGGTCGAAGGAAAGTCTGAACGAGTGGAGCTTACAGCGGTTTTTGGGGGTTCCTGTTTTCCGTTTGTAGTTCGGAGAATCGGAGAGGAGTGAGGGAGAGGAGGTGGGGAGAGGCGAGGAAGAGGAGGACGAGCGTTTGGTCAGAACCTCTAAAGTCAGTGCGCTGTCTTCAGACCTCCTCTGGCGAACGGCTGGGAGCCCATGTCTGATCTGGTTTATAAAGTCCTCTCCTCCCTCTCCCTCCTCTCCTCCGATCAGCTCGCCCACCCACTCCTTCACCTGCCGCCGCTCCTCCAGGTACAGCAGCAGAGACGGCGCCTCCACGTGGGCGTTCTCTGCACTGCGCCTACCGAAGGAGAACCAGTTCCACCAGGGCACCTCGGCCTCGCCATGCCCAGGATCGGAGCACCAGTACTGGGCAGTGAGCGTCAGGTGGGAGGTGGGCTCCTGGAGCACGTGGGCAGTGATGTCCGTCTCTGTCCAGCGTTCGTCAGGCTCTAGGACCACCAGGCTGCTGTGGCCCAGAGAGGAGAGCTGTGCCCTGCAGCGGGGGGCTTTGGGGGTGGAGTCCCGGCCAGAGGAGGAGGACCGGAGGTGGACGAAGGAGGCTCTGAGCAGCTGCTCTGAGGGGAGAGTGTCCAGGTGATACTCCACTGTGAAGGAGTAGTGGTGATCTGAGACACAGCACAGACGGAGAGGGTTAAGATGGAGGTTACACAGAGTTACAGCAGATACAACACTGTATATAGACCAGAGTTATACTTTGCACCTGATGTCATCAAATTGTGGTTGTGAAGCTACCTGGAGGCACTGCTCTGTCTGAAACTCTGTTACTCATGTAAGACTTTAATCTGAGCTTTATTTTAACACAGTGTGACCATAAAGACTTGGCTTGGTTGGAAATACAACAGGAGAGCTCTTTTGTGCTCTTAAACAAGTCTCTCACACATAAAATTACAGTCACCAGCTCGCTCACACTGTTTTTCACTTTAGCACCTTTTTTGTTGAATCTTTGTATCTTTACTTGAGTCTTCAGAGTATCTTAAAATGTTTTTGTCCACATTTACCACCATGTGCATGATGTTCCCATGGAAACTACTAAGCATTTTGCCAATAGAGATGCATGTGAACATCCCCAGAGTGATGTCACTGCAGTAATAGGGCTCTGTCTCTGAGTGACATGAACCTGAACATGACCATAACCTGAGGAAGACACACGGGACAGAGGGGAACCTTTGTGATGAACAGGGGCTGGTTAGTACAAGCTTTTCTAGTAATTACATGTGTCATTTACATATTAAATTATAAATGTAAAAAACACTTGGCACCAACTCTGTGTTACAGTGTTACAGCTAAAAACACATCCACCGCAGATGAACACCGTATGGACCAAAACATGACACGAGCCCGCGTTCACTGAATGCAGCACACATATGTGCGCACTTTTCAACTGTGCACCGGACTGTTTGCACATGTTTGAGTTTGAGAGCTTCTTATGAACCTCACTCCCGCACGTTCCCGTGCACCTGCGTCTATCAGGACTGACCTCTTGTGGCGGGCAGGTACCGCACTGAGGACGCTGTGGGCCGGAGGAGTCTCACGGTGTTGGAGCCGAACTTGCGGTGCTGTCTGGGCCTCCCGTCAGGCCCCGCGGCGCTCTGGTACAGACTCAGCATAAACTGCAGGTTCTGATCGGCCTTTTGCTCGCGCGTGAGAGGCCGGTGGTGCGCGCGCTCCTGTTTTGGACTCCGGCTGCTCCGGTTGGGTTCCCGCATGGACACGGTGCACGTGAGGAGACAGAGGAGGATGAAGCCGCACGACCGCATGTTCGGGTCAGAGAGCTTCACGGACGCGGCTACGGGACACCATCCTCCGCAGAGAGCAGCGCCATTCACACGTTTCACACGCACACGCATCTATGCACGCTGCGCGCTCCCGTGACCCCCAATTAACTCCTCTGAGGAGCAGGAGCAAGGGACACGCCTACTGTGAGCACGTGACCTGCTTAAAGGTGTGTGTACGTATAAGGTAAAGGAGAAAACAATTATGCAGGGTAAATTCTGCAGTGATATGTAGTACTGGTGTGTATTCTGCGCTCTTGTATCCCCGGTGTCATAACCTGCAGAAAGACACGTACACGTTTGTCTCATTCTCAGTATATGGACAGACCATGCTCATGTGAAAGCTCAGAACCTCCAGAACCTCCAGAACCTCCAGAACCTCATTATCAGTAAGAGTTCTGAGTAAGAGCTTTGATTTGAACACGTTTACTTCATACCTGGAGATACAGCTTCGTAAAATATATGTAATGCAGTTCATCTTGAGCAGTTTCATTAATAGTTTAGTCTAGTCTGTCGAAGAAAGGCCATGACTGAAGTAGGAGTAAAAGTATGTGGTTTGAAAACTACTCTTATTTAAGTTACTCAGTTAAACGGCCCATCAGAACTATATCATCAGAGGCCTGCCCATTCACACTCTTACACCCCACTATTCCACACGAAATGAAAAGGGGACACCTAAAGTTTTTATGACTTTAAACTTTTATTTATTTATTTATAATTAGAACAACTACACTCACAAACCTCGGCCAACAGTGTGATCAGCCCAAAGTTCACTTATGTTAAAGTATTAAACTGCTGTGGAGTGCAATGAACCAAAGAAACCTCAACCTGACAACTGTAAGTGCGTCCACCTGCCGGTCTCCAAAGTATCTGTTTCCACGGAGACAATCAGGCGACAGAAATGTTACACAAAGTATGATATTGCTTTAAAAAAAACATCAGTCACTGTGGCATTCCCTTTTTACCAGATTCATAACTTAAGTGCCATTGTGTTTCAAATCTCTATGGCTAATACACATTCAGAGGAACAATGTAGTTACACAGTAGATTAGAAGACTCAAAACCCCACAATGCTTTGCTTTCAAGACAAACAAAACAAAGGCCGTATAACATAACATTGGAGGTTGGACTACTTATTTGACTAGAACACACTTAAGATCATTATATTTAAGATTCAGCTGGCAATTTTACTTTTTTTTTTTTATCCCTGTCTTTTCTTAGTTTTCAAATTGTTCGTTTCTGGTGGGAAATCATTACAACATGCTGTCACCTCCAAAGGGCCAAAACCTGCCTAATTTACACAATAATTTGACCTAAAAAAAACCAAAAAAACCAATACATTTTCATTGTTAGATTAATGTTTAAACTGCTAGAAACACATTCCTGCTTTTTTTTCTGCATCTGGATTCCTGCATTTTAGATTGAATTGTGTACTGGTAACACGTATGTTTTTTTTTAGAATACAGCGCTACTTCCTGTAATTTTCAACTTTCATTTTCAACTTTTCTTCCACAAACTGTAAAATTATGATAAATATTGACAGGAACTATCCCACCAAACCAAGTCACAATTAGACAAAACATGAACAACTGCCATACGCACGTACATTTCGAGTCTTAAATTAAACAAAACAAAACATGCAAAAATTCCACTGAATTCCCTGGTTTGCAACATTACGAAAATTCATTCCATTCATGCATTTTTTGACCAATATTTCTACAGTTTTTGTTATACTTTAGCAAAACTTCAACTCACATTTCAGTTCACAAGGCCACAAATAATTCTGTCTGAAATCACCAGTATAAGTATTTAAATCAAATCTCTCAAACTATTAGCACTGCATTGTATTTGTCCAGTGCAAACTTTTAAATTAAGGCACCGAATGTCTATCTTCATGTAGACCAAACCAGAACAAATTACAGGTCAAATCTGCGGAGAGGCGACCCCGGTCACAGTCAGAATGCCTGTTTTCCTAGGTATTTTTGCTCTATAAAACCATCTGTAATTGAATAAATATATAAAGTAGAGCTGTTTAAAGTCATACTGTGGAACATTCCAGGCAAAGCAATGACATATCCATAGAAACAAGCCAGACTCCCAACCAAAAAGTAACATAGTGAAGCTTTAAAGATGCACTGCGTCACCTGCTGAAGGGTACGCCACCTGAAGTGTTCTACAGTATGGCTTTAAGCATATTTATCTCGATGGAGACAAGCAGCTCAAATTCCAGGTCAGATCTGCGGAGATACGCCACCCTTCAGAGTAAAAATGAAATATTTTTGTAATTGAACAAATGCGAGATGGCTAAGTTTAATGCCGTACTGTGGAACATTCAAGGCAAAGGTATACTATTTCCATGGAGACAAGTTGGAAATGTAACCACAAGCAGAAACGTTACGCAGTACACCTTTAAGTGTTATTAAATCATTATTATAAGGGTGATAAATAAAAAGGTTAAGCACCCATCTACACAATAAATATTAACTTCATTTCTGTTTTTATTATTAAATATGAGCGACTGAACTAACAGCATTTGGATGTAAAGTGAACAAGTTAACGTCAAGTTTACCTAAAAATATGTTAATAATATAACATTATACACATTATATTATTGTCAAAATTGTAAAAAATGAAAATGTAAAAGTTATTTCTGAAATCCAGATTGTCACGTGATCTTTCCTGGAGCTTTGTGCTGTAAAAACTGCAATAAAATTTAAAGGTCCTATAATATGCAAAATGCACTCTTATGAGCTTTAAGACATGTTAGAATGTTGTTGCTTCATCAAAAACATACCTGAGTTGTGTTTTGTTTCATTCACACATGTTTGAGTAATGCTTTATTATTAGTCTGTTTACATCTCCAAAGATCAAAATGCTCTGTTCCAACTTGTGATGTCATGAAGCGGTCATTTTCAAGTTAACTTCTTTTACCTTTAGTTCAGTAGAGATTGGCAATTCCAGGGCTGAAATGATCCAAATGATTCTAGTGAAGGTGTATAGAGTTCAAAAAACACAGTGGAGCACTTCCTGTATTACCACGTGACATCACAAAGTAGAAGAGAGTGTATTCTGTTTAAGAGAAGAACTCAGCCTTAATATGCAGCTTTTGTGTATTAAACATGTGAATAAAAATGTGTGAATGAAAGAAAACATAACTCCAGGTCTGTTTGTGATGAGGAAACAACATTAGAACATAGATTAGAAAATAGCGTCATATAGCTTTAAACTTTTCTGTTGCTTACTCAAATGCAAAACATGCTTAAATTCATGTAAATCGTTTTTTTTATACATTCGTAAAGTAAACATTGTTATTGCATAAGGTTTTTAGTTCACAGTTTGGGTCTCTATGAGCCTTTTGAGAAATGAGATTTTGAAAGATTTTAAAACTTTGCTGTGTAACTTTTCTAGTAGCAACCTGCTTGTGTCCATGGATGGATTTTTGCTGTGCCTGGAATGCTCCACAGTATGGCATTAAACACGTTTATCTCTGTGGCGACGGCACTTTTCCTAGGTATTTTTGAGCACTAAAACATCTGTGATTAAATTAGTGCTAGTTCAGATCATACTGCGGAACATTCCAGACAAATCAAGCAGGCAGACATCTCCATGGAGACAAGCGTGTGACAGACCCTCCACCAGAAATGTTACACAGTGCAAGATTTCTGAACAAATCTTTTAAAATGTTTGACTGCACAAAAACTATAATTGCACTTAGAATTGTTTTCCATTCTGAACCTTAGCTTAAAAATATACATGCATAGTAATACAATTAATGCAATCAATACAGGATTATTTCGTGTGAATAAGTTCCATAGTACGTACTCCCTGATGTTTTATTTGTTATGACCAGTGAAAACTCGTGATAGTGAGAAGAACTACTCCACAATAACAAAGAAAGAATAGATCAAGTATCAGAATTTCAGAAAGGACTGCACAATTTAAAAGTATTATTTGTGAAAAGTATTTGTGATAAATTATTAAAAAGTAGGATTTTGTTCAGAATGTGCATTGTAAACAACTCCAAGAGAATTAATATCTGAGAGAAGACTGAAATCTGATCTTGAAACTAATCCTAGAACCCCATGTATTTCAGAACTTGCAGATGTCTAAACTACAGGGTTAGCAGCTTTTACACAGAATAAGACTCCATGGAGACACAGGGGAGGGCATCTGACACACACAAGGGCATCTGATACATGAGGGAGGGCGACTGATACAAAGGGAGTGCATCTGATACACTGGGAAGGCATGTTATTGACAGGGACATTTCAGAACATGTTTGTAGAGATCTAAACTACAGGGTTAATAGTTTTTACACAGAATAAGACTCCATGGAGACACAAGGAGGGCCTCTGACACACAGGGACATTTCAGAACATATTTGTAGCAGTCTAAACTACAGGTACATCAAAATGTTTCTACAAAAAGATAGAATATTTTGTTCTTTGCGTAGTCTATCATTTATCTAAACAAGTGCAGACTTTAATTAATTATTGTGTCAACTCAAATTGCCATTTTGATTTACTGCGCCGTCCCAATTTCAGTTATTGTTATTATTACAGAAAAAAAATGTGACACTTTAAAGGTCCTATTTTACGGAGAATTGACTCTTGTGAGCTTTAAGTTGTGTTATAATATTGTTGCCTCCTCAAAAACATACCTGGAGTTGTGTTTTGTTTCTTTCACACATGTTTGAGTCATCTTGCATTATTAGTCTGTTTACATCTCCAAAGCTCCAAATGCTCTGTTCTACCTTGTGATGTCATGAAGTGGTAGTTTTCAAGCTGACAGCTACATTTTACCTTTACTTCAGTAAGGATTGACAATTCTAGGGCGGAAATCATCCAAATGATTCTAGGGAAGGTGTACTTCGTTTAAAAACACAGTGGAGCTCTTCCTGTGTTACCACTTGACATCACTAGGTGTTTGAGAGAAAAACTCAGTCTAAATATACAGGGTTTGTGTGTTAAACGTGTGAATGAAAGAAAACACAACTCCAGGTATGTATCAGAAAATAGCTTAATATGGGCCCTTTAAGTGTATTGTATATTGTTATTTCCAGTGAATCTGCTGTAAAATCCTAAAACTCTTTGTTGAGTTACTGCACAGCACAGGCGCCGCTGGGTAGAAAGTCCTGCACATAAGCAGCCACAGCTTTAGTCAGGTACGTCATGCTCCCAAAGCGGCCACTGGGGGCGCTGTCATAGAGAAGTCTGCACACGCCTGTGGACGGGTCTCTCTCCAGAACAGACTCCTCTGCTCCAAGGTCCTTCTGCACGACACAAACACAAGAATCATATTTAGGTGAGGGAGACTAACTGAAAAACTGTTGTCTAATGCTAGATAACTTGTGACTGTAATGCTATGTGCGAGGGACTTAACTAAGATCACCAAGCAAGTCAACTCTTATTGTGTTAAAATGAAGCTCAGATTAAAGTCTAAGAGAGCAGACAGCTATCTAGACTGCTGCCCCCACAACCTGGCCCTGGATAAGTGGAAGAAAATGGATGGATGGATGGAGAGCAGACAGAGCAGTGGCTCTAGTTGGCATTATCGGGAATGTTGAGCCACTTTTGTTGATCAGCTGCAAAGTAACTATTGTAACACTGATTTATTATTAATTACAAAAACACTGGACATGATGCCAAGTTAGTGATGTTATAATTTGGTGTTTTCGTTCAAGGCGATTATCCAATCAGAAAGCAGAATGAGTCTCTCATTTGGGTTGCCAGTTTCAATGCTGAAATCCAGTGTGTTTAAACCTAAAAGGACTCTCTGACACACAGTCCTACCTGGTCCTTATAAAACATATCATTGGCCGCGTGCACGATCTTCTCCACGTGGATGATGGAGCCGATGGAGTCGATTTCTACGTCAGCCAACATGGTCAGCACCAAGATGGCCTCCACCAGCAGCTGTCTGTACTCGGGCTGAGGAACCCTGTTCAGAACCGTCTCCACGTGAACTGAGAACTTTATCTCTCCTGGGGTCATCTGTAGGGGGCGCACAACGCAACACAGGGTTAAATGGAATCAACAGGATCATGAGGTTAAAAAAAGTCCATAGATTAAAGATGCATTGTGTAACTTTTCTGGTGGAGGGTCCGTCAAATGTTTTTCTCCATGAAGATGTTATTGCTTTGTCTGGAATGTTTCACAGTATGGCATTAAACCTTTCTATATGCATGGAAACCAAACCAGACCAACGTACAGGTCAGATCTGGGGAGAGGAAACCCCAATCACAGTCAGAATTAGGGATGGGCATGATTAATCGATTAATCGATAATTGATCATTAAGAATTTCATCGATTACGTTAATTTTAATCGACAAACCGAATGCAGGTTGCTGTGCGTAGTGTGACCAAACAGGGGTCCGTACCTGTAGCTCTCTGCACTCAGAAGGAGCGAGACACAAACAGTAGGTCAGCCTGCAGCGTGCCGAAGCACAAATGTGTATTTAACGATGATTTGTACAAGAAATCCCACGCTTTCTGTTGCGTTCGGGACAAGTGGGAGTCCTTGTGCACAGTGTACAAAGCAGCACATATGTTTCGGTGTCCAGTGGGAAAAAGCTTTACCAGGTGAGAGTCCCAACCTCCCTCCCCCCGTACAGTGTCCTGGTTTTGACAAACGCAAATATGGTCACACTAACCTGTATTCCACTGACTCATGTCTTTTAATCCGACAGAAATTGACCGCATCAGCGACACAAGAGCTGTAGTTTTATCTTTGCTGAGTTTATGCAAATTAGCGATGTGGTTTTAAGTTGCGCAAAACTGAATTAAACACATTATAATGTCAAACGGATTGATGTGGCTCTTGAGTCGTTACGGTTTATATGTCGTAAAGTTGAATTTATTTATGCAGATTAGTAGTGCAGATAGTAATAATAATGATGATCATTTTAATATAAAAACGTTAATGATTTAATCGATAATCGATCGTTAATTCTTCCGACGATCGATTAAGAAAATTTCATCGAATGCCCATCCCTAGTCAGACTGTCTGTTTTTCTAAGTATTTTTGAGCTATAACACCAAGTAGAGCTGTTTAAAGTCATACTGTGGAATATTCCAGACAGAGCAATGGCATATCCACAGAAACAAGCAGGTGACACCAGAAAAGTTTCACAATGCGCCTGTAAACGGGTGAGAATTTGATGGTGGAATTTGTATATATGTAAATGTCAGACAGCAGATTTGTTGACCTGGTTTACGGTTCATATCGCTGTAATTACTGAGCCTGTCCACATGAAACAAAAACTGGCACAGCATCTTCTCTGTCAGTAAAAATAAACAAAAGTGTAATTATTTTTTCACAATAGTTTTAGAAAGTGGTGCCATAATTCAACCCCAAAGACGTGAGTGTTGTCAGTTGAAAGGACTTTAAGACATAAGATTAATATGTCAAGTTTGTGGAGCCAATCCCAAACAAATAATGCAAAGGTTCAACATTTGTGGATCATAACTTTGGAGATCTCTTTAAAAACAGTGAATCTCCCATAGAGTTGTACAGGCCCTGCTGTCTCTGACCTCTCTGGTGGTGGAGGAGGGAAGCACGAAGCCTTCAATGGACAGACCGTGGCACTGAAACGAAACCGAGACACTCATTATGATGGTCATTTATTAAGGAGTCTACCTTTAGCATGGACTTAAACATTTTACACTAGAACTAAAACTACAGTATTGATACATACTGAAGAACTGAAGAACTACTCTGTCTGAAGTTCTGAAACTCAAATACACGCATCACGAATTTCGGACTTCCGGTCATTGCGCAATGCATACTGGGAAGGATTTTCTGAAAAAGTGAGCATCAAACTACCATGTTTGTTTTCCCAGTGGGATCCGTCTATTGACAAAGTCAGTCTTTTCAAGTCTTTTGAACCATATGACTTTTGTTTCTGGTTCTGATATTGTCATATTTTAGTTTTGGGATTCGGACATCGTAATTGTGTGGTTGTTGGATGTCCTAACGGCAGAAAACGGCTCGAGAAATTTGTTTGCGAACTTCATAAATGCAAAAGGGAATCAGATCTGTGTGACTGCAAACCTCCGTTCAAATGGTTTCCCTTCGCAACGGAATAGAAAAGTAGTGAAAGGAGAATGTGATGGGCTGTACTCATACACAGGAAAGACGAAAAAGGAAACCTTTGACTGCCTAAGAATTCATCCCGAGTTTGCACCGAACATTTTGTATGTGGAGCGCCAACAAAGCAAAACCCTGATCCCTCGCTCAACCTTGGTTACAAATTTAAATAGTCAATGCCAAAGCGAAAGGCACCAACTGTTCGCCAAGAAACACCTTCCACTGCAAAGCGACCAAGACGTGATGTTGCTGTAAAACCACAAGAACAAGAAAGTGCAGCTCAGTCTGTTTGTCTTCTGCACCTCTCGCTTAACAAACGGGATCCCACTTTGATGGCACCTCATACAAAATGTTCGCTGCAAACAGGGGATGGCTTCTTCGGCAGTCAAAGGTTTCCTTTTTTGTCTTTCATGTGTATCAATACTGCCCATTGCCTTCGCCTTTCACTATTTTTTCAATTCTGTTGGGAAGGGAAACAGTTTGAACAGAGGTTTCACATTGATTCCCACAGATCTGATTCCCTTTTGCAGCTATGGAGTTCGCAAACTTCCGAAGTCCGTTTCTCAAGCCGTTTTCTGTTGTTAGGACATCCAACAACCACACAGTCACGATATCCAAATCCCAAGACTAAAATATGACGATATCAGAGCCAGAAACAAAACTGATATGGTTCAAAAGACTAGAAAAGACTGGCTTTGTCAATAGACGCATCCCACTGGGAAAACAAACGTGGTGGTTTGATGCTCACTTTTTCAGAACATCCTTCCCAGTATGCATTGCGCAATGACCAGAAGTCCAAAATTCATGATGCATGTATTAGACTTGAGTTTGTTTTAACACAATCTGACCAGAGAGAGTGGACTTAGTTGGAACTACAACAGGTGAGATAACTTGTGCTGTTAAACAAGTCTTACTCACATAAAACTCTCAAGCTACAGTCACTCTCACTTTTTTGTTGAAAATCTTACTCCTAAACAGGACCATGAACATTCATATTGATCACAGGCTCCTGAAAATGTGCTGTTTAAATCCATTTTGTGTTTTTTCCTTAAGTTTTCAGACAATCTTAAAACTTGTTTGCTAATGTCTGCATTTTGTCTCAATGCTTTCCTTGTGTGCAATTGTCTCTGCATTTTGAATGGAGTTTTCTGTGTTAATGACATAAGTAGAGGGATTCTGTTTTAGAACTCATTATTTCCTGTATTTTTGTACTTTTCTTCTCAAAGTTTTTCCTCAACTCTCACTTAACTGATGTAAAACTATGATAAATATTCAATTCACCACAGGTACTATCCCACCAAGCCAACTCATAATTAGAAAAACATGAAACCTGTCATCTCTACTAATATTTTACCTTCTGCAGGATCTTCCAGACTTTCTGATAGAATCCGACTGGGACTCTGTTAAGAGCTCCGTCCAGCCTCCTTCTCCTGAGCCACTGTCCGTGACGAGTGTCCTTCACTGGGGGAAAAGAGTCGGGGATGTCCAGGGACTCTATGGAGGGCAGTCTGTACCTCTGCACACAACAGAACTATCATTAGGAAGGTCACCGTATATATGTTTGTGTTAGGATTACGGTGAGAAGAAACATCAGGATTTAACACATAAAACAAAAGTGAAATCCTTCATTTTCTTTGATTCTAACCCATCACCACTCCTCTTTGTGGCCAAGTGTTACTTTCTTAAAGAGGGGGTATTAAGAAATATTGATTTCTTTGAGCTTTCTACCATGTTATAATGTTATTCCCTCATCATAAAAACATGCCTGAAGAGGTTTTAGATGTCATCTATGCATGTTTGAGTAATTAAGCGATCTCTCTAGGGCCTTTTCAAATCCTTCTTACAGTTAGATGTAAGATTCTGTACAAGGTTCCACCCAGAAATCTACTTCATTCATGCTCGCACACGACAATTCTCCATAAATATACAAAAACATGATACAAATCTGTACATAACAACTTCACAAACCTGATGCAATGTGCAGTTGTTACATTAGCTAAACATGCTGATTGTAACTCTGAAGGGGGGTGACTTTTAAGCATCAAAAGTGAATCTCATAAAACATGTTAACATGTTGTTTTGGGCAAATACAGCATTTTCAAAACAATAAAGTTAACATGGTGAGTTAAATATGTTATGTGTTAGCAGTTAATGCCCCAGAGAAGTAAAATACCCCCTCTTTAATGCAAAAGTGAACTTACTGTGATATAAACAGATGCTATACATCTAAGTTTACTTTACTAGAGAGTGAATATAATATAACTTAATTTTGCTTCTAAAATGGCCACGATTATTATATTTTAGTCCTTATATTGTGACTTGAATCCTCACTATTATTGATAAATCTATTATCTGGACTTCCCTATCATTCACAATCACTCAGAATAATACAATTTACACGCACACACACAGACACACAAAATAATCCATAGGTGTTAGTCAAGAGCTGGAGGACAGGCCCCTGTCCTCCAGCTCAGTTTAAACTATAAACCTTTCACATAATACAGTAAAATATAAATGTGCTCTTATATTTAAACAAAGTGAAATGAGATTCACCCCTGATTCGATGTTGTCTAAATCCAGCGACTGGGAAATTAAACTCTGCAGAAAAAAACACAAAAATAAACATTTTAGGCACAAATCCAGTTAAAAAATATGAAATAGACCAAAAGCCAGAGGAATCCTGTTGGTAAAGAAACTGCATGCAATGAAACAGATGAGGAAAAAAGCATTGGTTAAAATTGTGAATTCCAAAACTGCAAATTCACACAGGTTAAATTAGAAGCAAAGAGATTATAAAACACATTTTCAGCATTAAATTATATCAAAATTGTACAGTTTTGTGACATTGTTTAAGATGTTGGCTTCACAGTCAAACAATTAAGACCCCACAAATAATAATTGAATTACTGAAGCAAAAAGCTTTATACAATTCATAGTATTGTAAAAAAATAAAAATAAAATAAAATAAAATAATAAAAATATTAATAATAATTAAAGGAATTACTGGACAGCCACGAAAGTTTTCTTATATGACAAATCCGTAAAAAAAAAATAATATATATATATATGTATATATATATAATGCATTATCCAACCTTACGACGCCAGAAAAAAAAGTGTTCAGACTGAAAGACAAAATGAAAAACACTTATTTAAAACCCTGTCTTTAATATTATTCTTACTACATCATTAAATACCAGTATATTTAATTTATCATAATGTATAACATGTTTAGTTCTCAGATACACTTCAGACTAGCATGCTGTCTCCTGTTAGCCACAGTTAGCTCCACTGTTAGCTCCACGCTAAAATTGCATTGAATCTGAATAGGGTTAGTTTCACCTTCACGGATTCTGTCAAAGACACTCTTCGCTCGATCTGCAAAACAGTAAATGCATCTCAAATAAAACATTTACAGATTTAAAAATAAAATGAGTAGAAATCCTCCCAAAACTGTTTTATATTTCATAAATAAATAAATAAAAGTGAATTTAATGAAATCACTAAAAATATTTTCTTTCACCTCCTGGACAGAATCAGTTAGAGACAGTCTCGGCTCCTGGACACAAAACAAAATGAGTTTAATCTTATTATGAGCATAACTTTAAATTTTAAACATTAAAAGGCCCAAATTAGAGAATAATTATATAATGTAAAACTTTAAAGGTTCCTATATTACGCAAAGTTGTCTCTTGTGAGCTTTAAGCCACGCTAGAATGTTGTTACCTCCTCAAAAACAGACTTATGTTATGTTTCATTCACCCATGTTTGAGTAAATCTTTATTATTAGTCTGCTCAAAATGCTGTTCCACCTTGTGATGTCATGAAAATGTAGTTTTCAAGTTAACAGCTCCTTTTACCTTTAGTTTAGTAGAGATTGGCAGCTGAAGGTGTATGAAGTTTAAAAACACAGTGGAGCACTTCCTGTATTACCATATGACATCACAAGTTGGCAGTGTTTTCAGTTTGAGAGAAGAACTCAGCCTAAATATGCAGGTTTGTGTGTTAAACATGTGTGAAAGAAACAAAGCACAACCCCAAGTCTGTTTGTGATGAGAAAACCACCTCAAACAAAGATCAGAAAATAGCGTAATATGAGCCCTTCAATAATAACTAACTTATGGAGCAATCATAAATTATTAATAGCTGATCTATACTTACTTTTTACATCAACGGAAGAGTAAAATATCTTAAATTACATTATGCAAATTAAGTTGGACATTAATTATTGTTCCTATTTTTTTTATTTTTTTTGTAAATTAATTGTAAAAATTAGAATCGCTCTTCGTCCATTCCATTGTATTTACTTTGTTAGTTTTTAAAACAATCTCTTAATCTCCAAATTCATGCATTTATGAATCAATTGTAAAAAAAAATTTAAAATGTTAATGGGGAGGAAATAAAATTAAAAGAAAATAAAAGTAGATCCGTAAGTCCATCTTCACCTTGAAAGTATCTGCCAGAGAAAACCTGCGCTCGGGCTGTAAAACATGAGCTGTATGAGACCAAACCCACACCTCCTTTAAAGAGGGGCATTATGGGAATTATCACCCACAGAAATCAGTCAGACCAGTGATTTTCAACCAGCTTTGAGTTTTAATAGACCACTCTGATCTTGGTCGGCATTCAAACTGTAAAGCAAGTTCACCTCACGACAAGAGTGCAAGTGACTTTACATTGAGAAATTGAAATATGGAGATTTGCTACTATAACTGCTAGCCTCTCTGAGCTTCACTTGACTGGAGCTGTTCTCTAGGGTTGACGTCACGCTCCCTCAGTCCACTTCTTTATATAGTCTGTGCTCTGGGTGCTGAAAAACTCTGCCGTGCACCTTGAATGTTAAAGGTACAGTGTGTAACTTTCTGGAGGTGGCGTGTCCCTGCATGATTTGGAAATAAAAAATTAAAGGGCCTATCTCATGCAAAATTAACTTTTCAGAGCTTTCTACCTTCTAAAAGTGATGTGTGGGCCTTGTTGATGAAGTGTTTTTTAAGATTGATTTGGCGTTTTTTTTAAACAAATTGCAGTGAATTTCTGCCACCATTCCACATGACAACGAGCTAAAGCTGCTATAACAATGACGCGGCGTGACCAGTTACACCTATGATGCATTTGACGTAGCAGAAAGCGCTTCGTACCCCCCCCCCCCCAAATAAGAGTCAGGTTTGTGGAGACGCAAGCTCACTCACAGTAAAGACCCGTGTTTTTCTATGTTTTAGATTCTTATTATTGTGCCACTGTGATAAAGAGTGGTCTATTACAACATTATAATCGATGTAATTAATCCCCATCTCCTGGAAACCCCAAGAGGAAGCTCCAGTTCACAAAATCATTCATATAATTGTCCTTAAACAAAAGATTCTCCAGATTTTCACCACTTTTGACTTTTACTCACATCTGGTAAAGACAACCTGTGCTCCAGCTGGAAATAAAAACATGTTTGTTCATTATTTTCACATAATGGAAATCAAATATGCATCCTTAAAAGTTGCACTTATGAAAATGAGGACAGTTTGCCCTTCAACCCCAAAGGTCAGAGGTTTGATTACAGTCCCAACCAGTGCAAATGAATACTGCTGTTGTGTCCTTAGGCAAGACACGTGTGACGGTGATTGGTAAGAAGTGAATGAATAAAACTACAGTGGAGACAATTTAAAGTGCATATGACAGATTAAACTTAATTTTACCAAAACAGAAGCCTATAACTGAAGTGAAAGTGATAATTCTGCTTCCTGGTTGGACACAGTCACACTTAACTGATGTAAAACCATAATAAACATTGACCACAGGTACTAACCACCAAACCAGGACAGAATTAAAAAAACATGAAAACCTGCCATATGCACTTTAAGTATAATTTTGTTATGTTAATAGAAAAAACAAAAATACATTCTCACCATTTTCATGTCACTCTTGAGTTTGCTGATCCCGGCGCGTTCACTCTTTGTCGCCCCCGTGTTCCCGAGTTGATGGATGGATATGGCAGGACTAACCCCAGTCTCAATCTCACGCACTTAAGAAAAAAAACACAACATCTGAATTATTCTAAATGCAACGAGAACAATCAGAAAATACTTTGTATAATTTATTTAAATGGGTTAGGTTTATGTGACATCACAACACTGCAGAGTCCCTATATTTTAAACTGAGCTGGAGACAGGTCAGAGCTCTATGGTGGAATTTGCTGTGTAACTGTCTCTGTAATTATTGGGACTATCCACATGAAAGAAGAACTCGGCGTCTTCTCTTCTACACTTGTGGCTGAGTGGCTGGTACACTGAGCAGTTTTTAAACTTTTTTATTTAATATTTTGAGCTTTGACCAACAAAGAATTGCAGTTTAAAAGACAGAAAGAAAGGACTACTCTTTTATTTTTCCAGTGTCCATGGCGACTCTGCTTGGAGATAATTATGCCAGCCAACAATCGCTTTCTACACCAAATATGGCAAAAGACATTCCAGAGGGAATGGCCTGTCTCATCACTGACCGGAACAACAGAGCACAGCGTGAGGCTCAGAAGAGGCTTTCCTGGTGTGTCTCCAGACATCACCTGGAGCTCCATGGAGGCTGCTACAGTAATATTGATTGATTGACAATAGCTTCAGAAAGTGGTGTCATTATTCTACCCCAAAGACCTGATTGTTGTCAGTTGAAAGAAATTTAAGACATGAGATCAATATGACAAATTTGTGGAGCTAATCCCACACAAATAATGAAAATTACACCATAGAATTCTGACCTGTCCTTCAGCTTAGTTTAAACTATAGGAACTTTACAAAGCCCTGATGCCACAGCCTAATATAATGTGATAGTTATTATAGTATAATAAATATATAGTTGTTGTTTACTGCTGCGCTGGACTCCAAACTCCTTCCCGCTCAGGATGTGGTGCAGCAGGTTCTTCACTTCAGACGGACTCATGTTCATCAAGCTGTCTGTTGCTTCATCTCCTACACAACAAAATACACAGACACATCGACAGTTAAAGTTATATTACACAAAACTGACTATATATAGCAAAACTGTATCATAATCATCATGGAGACAAGCATTTACAGACCCTCAACCAGAAAAGTTACAAAGTGCAGCTTTAAGGTCCTATATTATTCAAAATGACTGTTGTGAGCTTTTAGCCATGTTATAATTTTGTTGCCTCATCAAAAACATACCTGGAATTGTGTTTTGTTTCATTCACACATGTTTTAGTAATCTTTTACTATTAGTCTGTCAGGATTTCAGCCTAAATATACAGGGTTTGTGGGAATGAAACTAAATGTAACTCCAGGTCTGTTTTTGATGAGGAAACAATATTATAGCATGGATCAGAAAATAGCGCATTATGGGACTTTTAAAATGCCTGAATAAAGCATTATTTGAGCTTTCCAGTATTAAACCCTTTTTACCGGAGCAGTTGAGTGACTGTGCGAGCTCCGTGGCCATGACTTGGATGATGAGTCCAATTCTCAGTCTGAACATTTCACTGAACAGATCCGGCTGCGTTCGAATACTCATCGCCAAATACACCATGATCTCCTGAACAAAGAGGTCAAAAGTCAAGGGTTACGCACATACAATACGATCGTAGTGCTTTCATAATCATATTTGCTCTTCTGGGGAGAATTTGACTCATTTGCATCAATCATGTTAGTCTTTAGCTTGAATTTATTTTCATTATTTTATAGGTTAAAATATTCTGTCAGTTTTCAGTTAAATAGAGTTTGGAAGGAAAACACTGGTAAAACCTGTATCGCTACAATCACAAAACATCTCTGCACTCAACGTTTTCAGCAGTTAAATGTGGCATTAACACCAAAGAATAATAAAAATAGATAGCATGTGACACAGAAACATCTGGGCAAGGACAGATCGAATTTTGACGCAATTCTGTCCCTCTCTCCTCCTCTTCTCTCTCCCTCTCTCCCCCCTCTCGCCCTATCCCCCAGACCATTAGACTATCTCCACATTTGCAGCACCTGAGTGAGGATGGCCACGCTGATGTTTCCGTCACTGGCCTGGTCGATGAGCTCGGCGAGGAGGTCCGGAGGAATCGGAGCTGTGATGGTTTTCTCTCGAGGCTCTGGAGGCAAACCCACTGTGAGGTGCTTCTGATGAGCCAGAAGGTCTGAGCACGCCTGAGAGAGAAGGAGAGGAGCAGAAAGCAGAGAAGAGAGGCAAGAAAAGAGAGAAGAGAAAGGAAGAGATGGGACAAGAGAGGAAATGAAAGCGGAGGAAAGAGGGGGAGAAAGGAGGTAAGGCCACATGGTGATATAAAAGAAAGTACTATGATTTAATGTTGAAAATCACATTCTATTGTCTAAAGGCCAATACACACTACAGGATTTTTCAGTCTTAAACGATTTTTAAACTTGCATCAAAAAGCACACACCACGACACGAGGACAATCAAATCTCCAATCGCAAAGACTGCAGCAGGATATGTCTGCGGACTATAGGCTATAAAGTTATGAGCGTGATCGCGTCAGCTGTTTCCTGTCTACAGTAAAACGAATGTTCAAAAAATCAGATCACTGCACTTCTAGTTTAGATGCAAATCAAAACTGTGTGAAATACTTCAGATACACAATTTTTAACGCACAGAAGGCTGGTGATAAAGTACACAGGAAGTAGAGTTAGTATCGCTAATCTGCAGCTTTTCTCCTCGATCTATGTGCTGTGTGGATGTAAACACACATGTGAGGAACAGCTCTCTCCTTTTTACTTTCAAAAAACACTCCAAACTGGATTGATAGCGCAATTTTGTGGACTGGGCATCATTATTTGCGGGGGATATTTTTTATGGATAATGTGAATAAGATGCTGTAGTTTAAATTTTCAACGTTACGAGAGATGAGTAATACAGTCTTCTCCTTATTTTCGCTATATCCTGAGTTTGTATGTTGCGCCTCTGTGTCCGTCTCTCCATCTGCCCCTGATGTTCTGTTTTATTAGCTGTTACTGTAAGATCTGAAAGGGCAACTCAGAGTCTGACACCACATATATGAACACAGTGGCTTCAAAATCGCAAACAAAGACAAAAAGTCGAACTCGTTGAGAAGCAAATCGCAGCCAGAATCGGGCAAATTCTCTTGTAGTGTGTAGCGGCTTTAAATCGAGTTCCTTAGTATTGAAATTTTAATGTCACGATAACAATACAAGGACGGTGTATTATTTAGTTTTGTTTTTACCGAGTCGAGTTCCTCCACTTTCTTCTTGAGCATTCCTGAGATCATCCGGATGAGCCCCCAGTGTTTGAGCGCCCCCACCCTCTGGTACAGGTCTGACAGAAGAGTGTGAACTGTGCTGCCTTTACCGTGAAGACCAGTGTCCCAGTCCATACCCCTGGAAGAGAAGGAGAAGAGAAGGAGAGGTGTGAAAGAAAAGAGAGAGGGTGAGGAGAGAGGTGAGGCAGAGAGAGAGAGAGAGAGAGAGAGAGAGAGAGAAATGAGAGAATGAGAAAAAGGTGAGAGTGAACAAAGAAAAGACAGAGGAAGAGAGGACAGAGAGAGAGTGAAAGAGAGAGAGAAGAGAGGGAGAAGAGAGGGAGAAGAGAGACCTGATGCCTCTTCTGCAACTCCCAACGCTTCACCATCTGACTCTTTCCTCTGCTCCTCCTGTGTGTCCTCTGTTTCAACTCTGCATCCACTGACTCTCTCCTCTGCTTTTCCTCTCCCCCTCCTGTCCTCTCCTCTTCTCCTCCTCCTCTCCTCCTCCGCTGTGTGTGTGTGCAAACTCTCACTTGTCTTTAAACAGGATGTAGAGGATGTCGGCCTGGTCCTGCAGAGAGGGCGTTTCTTTGAGCAGTCGGACCAAAGCGTTGTAGTCGATGGCTCCAGAAGCATCTCGGGGAATCCCACTCTCCGCCGTCACCGTCACCTCCGGTACCTATGGAATCAAAAGATGTCAGGAATACGAATAAGTGAATTTTAATGTGTACAGAGGTGGTAGAGGAGCAAAGACATATATGCAAGTAAAAGTTTGTAAATACTACCAAAGTAGAAGAACAATACTGAAGAAAGAAAGTAAGAGTATTTGGGAAAGCTACTACTGATTCTGTTTGTTAGAATGTTCTTACCTCCTCAAAAACACACCTGGAGTTGTATTTTGTTTCATTCACACATGTTTGAGTAACCCTTTATTATAGTCTGTCTACTTCTCCAAAGCTCAAAATGCTTTGTTCCACCTTAGTGGCAGCTTTCAAGTTAACAGCTACATTTTACCTTTAGTTTAGCAGAAAATGGCAATTCCAGGGCTGAAATCATCCAAATGATTCTAAGGAAGGTGTAGTTTAAGAACACAGAGGAGCACTTCCTGTATTACCACATGCCATCACACGGTTATGTGTTTTTTCCAAACTCATGCAAGATTTGTGTCTGAAACATGTGTGAATGAAACAAAAAAAAAACTCCAGGTGTGTTTTTGATGAGGAAACAACTTTATAACATAGATCAGAAAATAGCATAATATATAAGAGTAAATGTAGAGACGTAACATCTGATTTGTAATTTGAAGAATTACACGTTAAATCAAGCACAAAATCTGGTACTAAGGACAGACACAAAAATGAGGCAAACAAAATCATATCTGAACAAGAGGTGAAAGAAACACAAATGTTCAAATCATTTCGTATTGTCACATAAAGCTTTTGTCACTTCAGACTTCCTCACAGTGGGAAGAGGAAGCACAACTTTTATTCAAGTAAGAGTACTGTTACACTGTACTATATATTACTCAAATAAGAGTACTATAGTGTGGTGTGTGGTATAGTGAAGTGTTTTGCTCAAAGACAGAGAGGCAGAAGCATACCTGGACCTGGTGTGGAGCAGGAGAGTCTGGGATGCTAAGGTTGAGGGATGGATGCCGCGTCCTGAACAGTTTGTTCGGGAGGTACATGTTCACGTCTGAGAGAAAAACGACACAAGTTATGTAAATGTTTAGGATTAGAGTACATTTCATGGCTTTAAAGGTCTTATTTTCTGATAAAGTGGTTTCATTTCTGGTCCAGAACCAGGACTAAACCAGGATCGAACTAGGACCAAACTTGGACTACACCAGATCTAAACCAGGACTAAACCAAAATTTCACCAAGACTAAACCAGGACTAAACCAGAACTAAACCAGGAATAAAGCAGGACTAAACCAAGACTAAACCAAGATTAAACTAGGTCAAAAGAAGGACTAAACCAAGACTAAATCAGGATTAATCCTGTATCAAACAAGGACCAGACCGCAGCTAAACCAGAACCCAGACCAGAACTAAATCAGGACTAAACCTAGACTAAACCAGGACTAAAGCAGGATCTAATCCAGGACTAAGTGAGACTTACTGTGCACATTGAGTTCTTGAGCCTCTTTCATGAGTGACACCATCTCTTTGGTTTTTGTGGCTGCAGCCTTGAAGCGGCTGAGCCCTCCCGCTGCAGGCTGGTGGGTTTTAGTCTTTTTAGGAGTCGCATGAGCCAAAAGATGATCCAAATACTGAGCCAGGTCATCTGCCTCTGAAACATGAAGCAAGCAGAGAATACAATACAGACGCAAGAGAGTGTGAAAGAGTGCAATACTGTTACTAACATTAAAGTTACAATCTGCAACATATTGCCCACCAATATAGACCTTTTCATTTTGGCTGTTTGTTGCACTGGAAAGTCTATTAACACATGTGTCCTTACTGTGAATGGGCTTCTCCACAAACAGCCAAAGAAACTGTAATATTCCAAAGTATGGCATAAAGGTCTCTATATCCATGGAGAATGTTCCAAAGTAACCAGATTTAGGTTTAAAAGAATCAGAAAAATGCCTTCCTTGTGTACATTATCTCTGCATTTTGAATTGATTTTTCCGTGTTGATAACATACAGTCCCCTCCAAAAGCATTGGAACAGCAAGGCAAATTCTCTTATTTTTACTGTTCACTGAAGACATTTGGGCTAAAGATCAAAAGAAGAGTATGGCACAAGAGTTCAGAATGTCAGCTTTAATTCCCTGGTATTTATAATTAGATGTGTTTAACAACTTAGGATATATCACAGTTTGTATTACATCACAGTATTTTTAGGTAAGCAAACGTAAAGGAACAAAAAATCTTAAACTAAATAAAATGTACTATTTGGTGGCAAAACTTGCTTGCAATAACTGCCTGAAGCCTTTGACCCATCGACATTACCAAACTGTTGCAGTCTTCATTTGCGGTGCTGTTCCAGGCTTTTATTGCAGCTTCCTTCAGTTCTTGTTTTTTTCGGGGGTTTCTCCCTTCAGTCTCCTCTTCAGGAGGTGAAATGCATGTTCTATCAGGGTAAGGTCAGGTGACTGACTTGGTCAGTCTAAAACCTTCCACTTTTTGCCCTTGATGAAGTCCTTAGTTTTGTTGTCAGTGTGCTTAGGGTCATTGTCCTGCTGCATGATCTAATTCCTCCCTATGAGTTTGGATGCATTTCTCCGTACATTGGCAGACAAAATATTTCTGTACACTTCTGAATTATCAGGGAAATACCAGGGAATTAAAGCTGACATTCTGAACTCTTGTCTCATACTCTTCTTCTGATCTTAAACCCAAATGTCTTCAGTGAACAACAAAAATAAGAGAATTTGCCTTGCTGTGCCAATACTTTTGGAGGGGACTGTACATAGAGGGATTCTGTTTTAGAACTCACTGCTACTGTATTTTTGTATTTTTCTTCTCAACTTATTTCAAAACAAACTGCCATTTAACTTATGTAAACTATAATAAATATTCACCACAAACACAGTACTATCCCACCAAATCAAGTCAGAATTAGAAAATGAAAACCATTAAAGTAATTTAAACTAAACTTAACTAAAATACAAACTGTGTACTGAGTAAAAACTGATGAGGTCACACTGGAAAGTTATATAAAAGTGTGTCAGATGCCCTCCCTGTGTCTCCATGGGGTCTTAAGCTGCAAACCCTGTAGATTAGACCTCTACAAACATGTTCTGTAATGCATGGGATTAGTTTTAGTTCAGATTTCAAGGCCTGTGAGTATAAGACTTCTACTAATTCAATAATGCAATAAAGGATAAGTACTGATGAATGCATTAACTCGTTTCAGTCCATATTGTGAACAGAAAGAAAATCACAAATCTACTCACAATCTATGTTCGAAGCATACTAGTAGCCTGACTAAATGCAACAAGCACTAATTCATGCAAATACAGGGTTAATTATGATAAACATTCAAGGCAAAACTAGTTTAACTGTTAGTGTGAACATATAGACTGCAAAAATGCCCATTAAAGCAAATTAAAGCATTGTAGATAATATTATCCACTGTATTTTTGCTTGTTTTTAAGAATGGATGTGTGATTAAATAAGCACTGATTTTTGATTTGATATTAGCAAAGCATTTAGATAATAGGTCATTTTGCAGTCGGCGGCCATGCTGATTTAGTGAGAAATGGTCAGACCAGCTTTGTTTAAATACAGAAAAATTTGAAATAAACTAAACATTTTTAATAACAGATTGAGAACAAGTTTGAAGTTTTCTTATTTAAAGGTGCAATATGTAACTTTTCTGGTGGGAAATATGGCACTTGCTTGTCACAAGTGGAGGAGGTACTTTGCTTGGTATCAGTTTGTGTTTGTAGGTAAGTATGGCATTAAACTTATGCCACTAGAGACAAAAAGGTACAAAGTTACTAGCCAGATTTGTGGAGAATAAATATTTTTTGAGATATTTCACCCAAAGGAAAACAAAAAACGTGGTTATGGTTTTTATCTATTTGTATATAATTTGGACACAATATTCACCTAAAATGACTTAATAAAAGAAAGTGCACCTTTAAAGTGGATTCTCTGTTCTATAACTTCAAAATATTTTGTAACTTCCATCAAACTGCAGACTGTCTGAATGTCCGTTTGGCTGGCTTGACCTTTGCCCCCAAACCCATGGCCGTGTTTCTTACCATCATCACAGCGTAACTCATGCACGTATCCCTCCTCCCCCTCGCCATCGTCCTCGTCATCATGTGGGCGGGGCATGCTGCTGGGGACCTTACCATCCAGGAAACTGAGGTGAGCGAAACAGGAAGTAGTCATCAGCTCTGACAAACGCCCAGTTTGGATCCTGGAACACAAGATTCAAAAACAAATGATACAAATATAAAAACATAAAAAGGCAGGTTATTCATTTCACTAAAATTTACAGAGCCCATATTACGCTCTTTTCTGATCTATGTTATAATGTTGTTTCCTCATCAGAATCATACCAGGAGTTGTGTTTTTTTCATTCACACACAAACCCTGCATATTTACACTGACCAGAAGTCCCACCAAAAGAATTTAGAGACAAAAGTGGGCAGGGCAGAATAAAGTCAATATGATCAATCGAAAGAGGGACCTTCTTGTTGTGAGACAAGAGTGCTAACCACTAATATAGTTGTAAATAAATATGAGTATAACCTGGCTCCTCCATAGTATCCGTCCTGTAGTTTCTTCAGAGTCGCCAACACGGCCGGGTCCAGGTCTGTGTGGTCCTCAGCTAAAGATATATCATTATTATTATGATTATTATGATTATTGTTATTTAGTTAGTAATTAGTTTAAACATACAGTGGTGGAAGAAGTACTCAATTTTGTTACTGAAGTAAAAGTACAGATACCAGAGCAAATAAATACTGAAGCAGAAGTAAAGATATCACATGAAAAAATGACTTATTAAAATATCTGTTTAAAGATGTAAAAAACAAAAGTACTTCAATCTAATTTTGAGATCTTATAAAGCTTAAAATGTAGTGATTATGATACATATTTGTGCTGAAATTTGTTAGAAGATAGTTTTATTCTTTCTGTTTGTTTATGTATATTTTTATTTGCTCAAATTATGAACGTGTAAAAAAAATAAACCGTCAGCCTTTTCAGCAGCTTTTAATTTTCAGTCCTGTTCTAAAATGTAGTGGAGTAGAAAGTAAGATTTACTTAAAGCTGCATTGTTTAACTTTTTTGGTGAAGTGTCCATCAAATGCTTCCTTTTTCTTTTCTTTTTTTTTTTTTAAATTTGTATATTTGGGTTTGCTCATATTTATATATGTACTATACTTTCAGTCCTGTTCAAAAATGTAGTGGAGTAGAAAGTACAGATAACTGCTCTCAGATGTAGTGAAGTAAAAAGTAAAAGGCATCCAATTTCAAATATACTTAAAGTAAAGTAAAGTACCTACAATTTTTACTTTTTATTTTACTACTTTTACTTTGTGACATTCCACCACTGGACATATATCTGCAGGGGGTCCTCACTGAGCATGGTCTGGGAGATGGGAAACGTCACTGTGGGGCGTCCGGTCATGCGCCATCTTGAGGCCAGGTACGCGATCTCCGTCCTCAACATCTCCACAATCATTTTATTATCCAGCGCGATGTAGAACTGCTGGTGATCTATGAACTGCACAGGAAAATATGTAAATGATCATATTAAAGAGGGGGTATTCTGCTTGTAAGCATTACTCTGTCTGAACCTCTATTACTCAAATTAGAGTTTAATCTAAGTTTAATTTTAACACAATCTGAGCAGAAAGAGCTGCAACATGTGAGCTGATTTGTGCTGTTGAACAAGTCTCTCACACAAAATATTACAATCATAAAATAGTTATCATTAACCAAAAGTTTTTCAGTTAGTCCCTCTCACCTTTTTGGTTGAAAATCAAATTCCTAAACAGGACCATGAACACTTGTACTGAACACAGGCTCCTGAAAATGCGATGTTTAAATCCATTTTATATTTTAAAATTGTTTTGGCTGTGTCTGCTAATGTGTGTCACCCTGGTAACTGCTGAAATATCCGCCGTACAGATAAATGTAGCGTGATGTCACTGCAAAGTATGAATACATTTCACTCTCGTTTTTGAGTCACCCCCTTTAGAGTGACATTACAGTACAATAAGTTGACAGGGGCTGAATTCAAATCATAAACTTTTTCTCAGCTCAAAAATCCTTCTTCTCTAGCTTTCCCTTACTCTGCTCTCAAGCTCAAGCTACTCTCACCCTGATTGGTCAGAGCGATCACATGGTATGTGGCACTGCACTCCTTACACCTTACGCACCTGAGGAGTGAAGGAGAACATGGTGTTTCTGATGATGTAAAACTTGGACGTGCCCAATACCCCAATCCTCCTGCAGGGGCGCCCTGTCAGACCCAGACGAGGGTTACGACCTGGAACAAAGAAAAACAGAAATAGTTAAGTATGGGTGCACATCTGACACAAAGGGAGGGCATCTGACACAAAGGGACATTTCAGAATATGTTTGTAGTTTTGACACAGAATAAGACTCCATGGAGACACGGGGAGGGCATCTGACACAGTACCCAGCCTGGCGTAGATGTGGCTCAGGACTCTGGAGGGCTGGACGTGGATGGGGTAGATATCGGCCACTGTCTCCACGTTGATTCCATTTTTCATCAGCAGCGCTTTAATCTCCTCTGTCTCAGCCAAAATGGACACTAGACAGCACAGAAAACACACAAATATTGATACTTTGCAGTGACAAAATTAAAGGCCCTGTTCCTGATGATCAATGAACTAAAATGTCATGTAAAAGGGTTGAACAATTTGGGAAAAATGTCTGTGATTTTTCTTACATTTACAATTTACCTTCATAGACTGTATATATAAATGGACATAGCTAACCTGCTAGCTGCCGCGTTTCAAGCAGGAAGTGAACATGGGCACTTCCAGCTTCAGCTCCATTAACTCTGGCTCCAATTCACTTTGTATTGAAAAAACATTGCCCCTCTATCTGTAACTGCTGCTGTCTGGCTCCTCATTTTGGTCTTAACATGCTCATATTAACCCACTCTACAAGATCTTGGAGTTTTTATTTCACTATTTTATCCATAAATCTGTTCCTATTCCTGAAAACTCAGGTTCTTCTATAACTGCCAGCCTCGGTGAGCTTCATTTGACTGGAGTCGAACACTATGGGTGACGTCACACTCCCTCAGTCTTTAGACATCTTTATACAGTCTATGTTTTTTCTGCACAACAAGACAGGAGATTTTGTTGTTTGTGGAGGAAATTATGGTACTTCAAAAATTGCAGCCTTTGCATCCAACTGTGGTTTCGATTTTATTGTGATAATACATTGCAACATAACACAAATATACAATTATAAATACACATATATATATATATATATATATATATATATATATATATATATATATATATATAAATACAAAATGTCATATTTATATCTTAGGAGCTTCTCACCTTGGACGACCACATCTGGTTTGGGGATAGTGGAAAATCTGCGGTTTAAAGGGTCAATCTCTCCTGGAGCCAGAAAACCCTAAAAACAACAACAATAACAACAAAATAAATTATAAAGAAAATGTGATAAAAATGTGAACATGTGCAATAATCCTGCATTGTTGGGTTTCAAAACATCACAACATACTAAAGGCCAATGTTATCTAACACAGATGGGAGGAGCTAAAATTAATATTAATAATAATCATAATACATCTGGCTTATCTAGCTTATTGAATACTCAAAGACACTTTACAAACAAATAAATATCGATAAACAAATAAACAGAATATTGTTCAACTGCAGATTTTTGTTGTAATACAGCATGGTCATGGACTTAGTCAATAAGAGAAATGATCAGGTTCCATATCTGGGAATTTACCCTTTAAATATTTCATGCAGTGTACAATGTACAAAGAGAGAAAAAGAGACTGTCTCTTGCCCCCATCTGGGAGTATGACATTCTACATTCTACAATGTGAAAACCACTGATGGTCTTGCATATGAGGCTAAAGTGCTACAAAAAATTCTGTTTTACCCCTATCCCCGCCCACTGCTCTGTACCTAGATAGAGAGATAGAGAGAGAGTGAGAGAGAGAGAGAGAGAGAGAAGAGAGAGAGAGAGAGAGAGATTTGTGCTACCTATTGAAGCTGTAGCCTTAGAGCTACAGCCTACTGAATCTCTTGAATTGAGAAAATAAACAACAAGAAGAACTTTGGCTTGTATGCCACAGTAATATAGGTTCATAGATATCTCACCTCTGAAAGCAGATTTCCTAAAACGTACAGAGACTGGCCCCACTTCAGAGGACACTTGCCCATAGACACCCTCTCCACAGAGTGAGGATTCTCATACTCTTCCTCCACCTGCACAATCAAAAGGAAATATAATTCAAATAAATATACTAGCAGTCAAAAGTTTTACACATATTTCATTCAATGTTTTTTTTCCTTATGTTTACTACTTTCTACATTTTATATACATACTGTACTAAAGACATCAAATATATAATGCAAGACATATGGAAATGTGTAGCAGAGAAAAAAGCAAAATAACTTAACTTAAAGGTACACTGTGTAACATTTTGGTCGTGGGTCGGTCACGTGTTTCTTTCTAGATATGTCATTGCTCTGCCTGGAATGTTCCACAGTATGACATTAAACAACTACTTTACATTTATTCAGTTCCAGGTGGTTTTACAGCTCAAAGACACCTGTTATTCTGAATGTGAGTGGGGTTGCCTCTCCACAGATCTGACCTGTAACTTGGTCGTCTGGTTTGGCCTCTATGACAGTGAAAGGTTTAATGTCATACTGAGAAACATTCCAGACAAAGAAATAACATCTCCACGAAGAAAAGCATTTGACGGACCCTCCACCAGAAAAGTTACACAATGCGCCTTTAAACAGACAATTTAAATGTTTATAGTTATGATGTGTGGTATTGACTGGCCTTGTCTGCGGGCACACTGTACAGCTCTGGCACCAGTCTGATCCCATCTTTCTGTTTAATCAGGATGCCCTCCAGAGCCTCCTGATACTCCTGCACCTGTAAACAAGTAAGGGCAGCTCTTTTATTTAAAGGCCCTATAATACACAAAATGACAAAATGAACTGAGCTTTAAGCCATGTTATAATGTTACTACTTCCTCAGAAACATACCCGAAGTTATGTTTTGTTTCATTCACTCATGTTTGAGTAATACTTTATTATTACTCTGTCTACGGCTCTAAACCTCAGAATGCTCTGTTCCACCGGTAGTTTTCAAATTAACAGCTATATTTTACCTTTTGTTTACTACAAAACTACTGGAAAGTTCAGCGCTGAAATCATCTAATGGATTCTAGTGAAGGTGTATGGAGTTTAAAAACACAGAAGAGCACTTCCAGTATTACCACATGACAACACAAGGTGGAGCAGAGTGTTTTCAGTTTGAGAGATTTGTGTGTGTGTGTTTGTGTGTGTGTGAGAATGAATGAAACAAAACTCAACTCTAGGTATGTTTGTGATGAGGAAACAATTTTATAACATCGATGAAAAAATAGTGTAATATGGGCCTTTAAATTGTTTAGTAACTATGACTTGCCCACAGACTGTAGCTGCTCTGTACCTGTTCTGGGCTCTTGATGAAAATTCCATCCAAAATGAGGTAGGTCCAAAACAGCGGCCACTCACACTCAATGTTCTCAAATAACTTCAGTTCAGCCGATTCATAATAAAGACGATTTGGGTCCTGCACAAGAAAGAAAAGAGCATATTTGGTTTTGGAGTGTATAGATCCACTGACCTACAGGTTGTGTATTTGGGCAAAACACTCAACCCCCCTTGCCCCGAGTGTCTGCATACACTGGTGTGCGAATGTGTGTGTGAATGGGTGAGTGGTCCCTTGATGCAAAGAGCTTAGAGTGCCTTGAAGGTGGAAAAGTGCTATATATATGACCATTGATTTTGTACTTTTATTAGAGTATACAAGATATTTTAGCCATTGTTCTGTCCTCCTTGTGTCCTAAGAGCTCTTCGATCTCTGAATGGAGGTGAAGGGGACATGTTCTTGCTCAGAATAGAAATGCTGACGTTGTTTAACAAAAGATTTACAGAATGGACTGGGAATGGGGTCAACAGTGACAAAACAAATATTTAAATAGCTTTTGATTCTCATAATAACAATAATCACCAAGTCAGAGGGATAGCAGCTCATTACTTTCAGTCTGCCCCAGGGCAGCTGTGGCTCACACATTTACCTCTCTGGGAGTTTTGTGTCCATCTCGGAGAAACCGGCAGCAGCCATATCGACCCTGAAAATAAATTTAAAAGAGGCGTTATCAGTTAAATTTAAAATGTTACGTAGTTACAAGGCATTTGAAAGTAATGTTAGTAATGTAGTATTGCTTGTACACGCACATCTCACCCCCCAACATAGACCAAAGCAGCAATAAAATAGTATTATTAGAATTTGACCTGGAGTTTAGAGATGTGTGAATGGGGACTTGAGCCTTATAATAATAAAACTGTTATTATTAGTGCTTATCTGACCTGTAGTTTGGAGATGATCTCCTCCTTGGTCAGGTTCACGATGCTGATGTCCTCCACAGCGAAGGCCGGGTACGAAATGATGGCCAGAACTCCAGCGTCCACCTCTTTGGAGATGGAAGCTCGGGGCAGAAGAGACGTCAGGATGGACTGAAAAGAAGGAAAGAGATGTGAGGGTCAACTGAAAACAGAGAGAAGAGAACAGCTTAGGAGAGAAAAGGGATGTGAGGATGGACTCAATACACTATACCAATACCAATATATTTGAGAAAAGGACCACACATATAGTGTCAGACCAGGATGATGGACCAACTTATGGATGACTACGGTCATGAACAGTGGATTTTTAAAATAATTTGTTCACAAAACAGCTATACATTGCTGCTTAGTCTTATGTGTATCAGTGTTTAATGAAGAGTGTACATGGGGTGGGTGAAAACAAGAAACAGAGCAGTGGCGTCTTGAATATAGGAGAATAAAGGTTCCTCAAACATGCATGAATCACTCAAGAGGGTAAATGAGAAGGAAAACAAAAATTAAAAGTTCTGAGTTGTACCTGACAGTGCTGGATGTCATCAGCCAGAGCGTGGACCACAGACCCAGGGCCTCCTTTGGCTCCAAAGAGGTTCAAATCATCTAAAGCCTCTAAAGCTGCCTGGAAGAAAAAAAAAATAAAAAAAATAGATATGACATTTTTAGTGTTAAAAGTAAGAAATTAAACCAGTCCAGAGCATTCACATCTGCATGAGCCTGAAATTAGAATTTAAAACGAATGCAGTAATCCCATGCATGTCTGTCAGATTGCAGATTTGCTGATCTGGTTTATGGTTCATATCTCTGTAATTACTAGGCCTATCCGCATGAAACAAAAACTGGCACAAAGTACAGCGTGTTTTCTGCCAGTATAAATAAACAAAAGTTAAATTATTTTTTCACTAGAGCTTCAGAAAGTGGTGCCGTTATACAACCCCAGAGACGTGATTGTTGTCAGTTGAAGGGAACTTAAACCTTTAGATTGATATGACAAGTTTGTGGAGGCAATTTCGAACTAATAAAGAGAAGGTCCAATATTTGTGGATCATAATTCTGGAGATTTCTTTCAAAAACAGTGGATCTCCCATAGTTATGTAGGTCCCACATTCCAGCTGAAACAATGACATAATGAGAACATGAACGTGACCTATTTAAACTGTTTATAATTTGATTTGATAGTTTAATCTTTGAGCTCTTGTGTCATGTCTGTTATGTTCACTCTTCCTTTAGTAGGTGCTCCTGATTTAGCCTCCTCAGTGTGTGTGTGTTTGAGTATGCATGTGCATGCCATTGTGTATGTGAGTGTGTTACACGTGTGCTTGTGTGTGCATTCATGTGTATGCGCACGTGTGTGTTTGTGTGTTTACGTGTATCTGCCCATGCGTTTATCTTTGTGTGTATGTGTGGTTTAATATGTCTGTGTGTATGTCTTTAAGTGTGTATTTGCGCGCGTGTGTGTGTGTGCGTAGTGGGGGGGCATAGCTCATTCCTGGAGGATCACTGTGAATTTGATCCTCTGTCCAGAGTCAGGGCCAGGAGACAGAATCACTTACGTAAGATTATGGCAAACATTTGAGCACGAGAAATACAGGTATATCTGACTGCAATGTTAAACTGTCCTTGTGTTGTTGTTACTTTGCTGTGATATCACTCTGGAGGTGTTGTACATGTGCACTATGGTAGAATGTTCAGTAGTTACCATGGCGGCACAATACACACATTAACAAACACTTTCAAAAACGTTTTAAGATCTGTAAGTCCAAAAACTCAAGAACCAAAAATGAACATGTTTCATTCACACATTTTATATTCAGACATGTTTAACACAAAAATCCTGCATATTCAGTCTGAGTTCTTCTCTCCCTTCCATGTCATGTGGTCATGTGGCGCTTCACTGTGTTTTTAAACTCCATACACCTTCACTAGAATCATAATGGATCATTTCAGTCCTGGAACTACCAATCTCTACTAAACTAAAGGTAAAAGGTAGCTGTTGACTTAAAAAAAATAAATAAATTAAAAACTACTGCTTCATGACATCACAAGGTGGAAAAGATCATTTTGAGCTTTGGAGATGTAGACAGAACAATAAAGATTTACTCAAATATTTGTGAATGAAACAAAACACAACTCTGGGTACATTTTTGATGTGGTAACATAGATCAGAAAATAGTGTAACATGGGCCCTTTAATTTATAGCCTCTTTAAGTAGTAAAAGTTAATTTAAATATAAACCTATGCACATGTCCATGCAGTAAATGCAACGTTGTGGACAGTTGAGGGTAAAGGTCATGTAAAGGTCATGAAAAGGTCAAGTCTAAAGGGCGACATTTTTATAGAAACTGGACACCTGTTGTAACTCTGTGTGAAACCCAATACACACCAGCAATAATCTAAACAGGAAGTGTCTGCAGAGATTTATAATGTAAAAGTATACAAACTAAGGTATATTGTTTGACTAATGAAGTTAGTCATCAGTGACGGTGAAAACGGGGATTGCAATATGGAGTCTTCAAAATAAGCAATTTAAAATTGTTCAGACATGCATGAATCACTCCAAATAAAATCCTGTGTAAATGGGAAGGGGAAAAAACTTTAAGATGGTTAAAAGTGCTGATAAGGCAATTTTGCAGTAGAGGTCTTTTATAAATATTTAATGAAGTATTGGATAATAGTTACTTTAAGATGACATTGCCATTGATGAAATGTTGCTGTTAAAGGTGCTTTTATATAAATAGCTTCTCTAATGTCTTCTGTACCTGTCCAAGGACTGCAAATGGAAAGCAGCTTGTAGCTAAATCTGGTACAGAGCATCTTTCCTCTTTGAGATCAGTGTTTTCGGTGCATGGTCCTTAGAAAGTAGTAAAAAATAAATAAGGACAAAGAGATGTGTCCTTCCTTTTGACTGGTAGTATGTATAAAGTAAAATGACAGTGTGTGTGTGCGTGCGTGTACTGACCTTGGCCATCCCAATAGAGCTGGCGTTGATCTCAGTAATTCCCTGGTTGGTCTTGTCGCCTCTCTCCCACATCCCATAATCCTGAGCAGAAAGAGGAGGTTTATTTATTCAGCTTGAAGTGTAATATATTGTGTTACAGAACAGGTTAAATAATAAAATGTGCAGCATCTTGAACAGTTTTAAAAAGTGACACTCACAGCCACTTTGTACGCTGCCTCAATGTAGAACATGAGGTTCTGAACCACATCCACCTCATCCTGAGTGTAAACGATGTGTAGACCTGGGGACAGGAGACTTTTCATTAGGTCTGATTTTAACATGCATAAAACACTCCAAATGGATTTGCAAATGCAATAAACGCTGATTCAAAATAAGCAAAAAGTTTAAATTGGACATTTTCACTGATGGTCGTCACAGCTGTCCTGGGGAAAAATAACAGAAGTGAGGCTGCCAGTCTGCACCATCGACCCCTCCCACCACAAAAACACTCACACATCACTTTTATACTAACAGCATACTAGCTAGCTCTACTGTGTCACTCACTTTTATTAAAATCATAAACTAAACAACCTATTAAAAGTCAAATTAATTAAAATGCAGAATACTTAGTTTGTGATGTTGTTTTTTATATCTATCATGCCTCAAAATGAGCATTAGTGTTAGCAATGAGACATAAATATGTACCTTTCAAAACAAGTGTCCTCCGGTGAAGTATTCATTTTATTTGTGTACTTTTAACATGTTATCAGTGACACCCACCCAGGGTTGCCAGGCGCTATTATACACAGAGTTTATAGCTGACAAATCATTAAATTTTTTATTAAAGTTTACTATTTACCTTTAATAATAGCTAATCCTAAAATAAACAACAGCAGTTTCATTGATATTCTAATGTGAGCTTAAATAGATGGACAAACTGAACTTTGTGGGGCTTTCTACTGTGTTATAATGTTGTTCCCTCATCAAAAACATGCCTGAAGAGGTTTTAGATGTCATCCCTGCATGCTTGAGTGTTTTAGTGATGTCTCCTGGGCCCTATTCAAACCCTTCTAATGGTTAGCTGTACGAGCTTGTGTTTTTTGTACCTGAGGCGGTCATCTGAGCAAGGAAGAGGAGGAACAGTGAGGTGGCGTCGACCTGGAGATGACCCCATTCACTATCGCCGACCACCGGAGCGCACGTCTTTGTGTTATACTTAGCATGAAGAGAGTCTGAAGTGCTTCGACTGTATTTAAACTTCTCCACTTTATCCAGCTGAAAACATACAACAGCATATGCAAATGAGGTCTTGGATATGCAAATGAGGACAGTCAAAATTAGCATGAAGAAAGTCCAAAGTGCTGGGGCTGTACTTAAAAGTCTCCACTTTACCAAGCTGAAAATTTACAATATAATGTGCAAATGAGGGCCAGGATATGCAAACTTTACTCTTGTGAGCTGGAGATTTTTTTTTTTTTTTTGTTTCATTCACACATGTTTGAGTAACTCTTTATTATTAGTGTCTACATCTCCAAAGCTCATAATACTCTGTTCCACCTTGTGATGTCATGAAGCGATGGTTTTCAAGTTAACAGCTACCTTTTACCTTTTGTTTAACAGATATTAGCAATTCCAGAGTTGAAATCATCCAAATTATTCTAGTGAAGATATATGGAGCTTAAAAACACAGAAGAGCACTTCCCAGAACTAGCCCAGAAAATTGTTTAATATGGGCCCTATAAACTTTAACTGAAAATATACAATATAATATTCAAATGAGGACCAGGATATGCAAACTGTGATCATTTTGACATATTTAAATATTGGCATATTTAAAGTCTTAAGAGCCGTACCTGCCTCATGTAGCACTGCAGGATTCCTCTCATCAGTTTGACCACACTCTGCAAAAACAGTTAAAGCATTAGTCTCATATAGGACATTTTTAGACCTGCTTTATGTTTAAATACATTGCTCTTGTTCCAGTTAAGACCTTATATTCCTATGTGGTTTTGTGGATAAGAAAAAATTGTCAAATTTCTTCCTCCAAACTGATTCCGATACCACAATGACAGTAAAAAAAAATAAAAAATTAAAAAAAAACTCTTTCTTTAGACAATAGAATGTAATTTTCAACATTAAATCACAGAACTTTCTTTTCTAATCCCATGTGATCTTATACCTGTGTAATCCCTCAGTGGTCCAGGTAAGTTCCATTGTGGTCCATGGGCGTATACTGGTCTATGTGCTCTTATACTTGTTCTGATACAGCTCAAGATCATTCTAAAGTGATTCATAAAAGCTTCATAGCTGTCTTGTGAATGGGACTTTTTTAGTATCGATACCTGCTCAAATGAGGATTTTTTTTCGGTACTAGTCTGCAATTTGATTTTCAATACTTTTACAACCCTAGAAAGAAAGGAATGTGCAAAAATATAATTAAATGCAGCTCATAAATACCTGCTTTCATTCTCCGGTACCTGTTTTAGTTATAGATACTACAGATGGCTACATAGATAAATGCTTTATTGATCACGAAGTCAGTTTTCAGCAACAATAATGAAATGGTATATTATCTGGTAGTTGTTCGTGTATTTTCGTACCTGCTGGAAGCTTTATAGATACTATAGATAGCTACATAGATAAATGCTTTATTGATTCCGAAGTCAGTTTTCAGCAGCAATAATGAAAAAATTGGTATATTATCTGGTAGTTGTTTGTGTATTTTCGTACCTGCTCGAGTTCGTAGGCCTTCGCTTTGTCCTCATCTCTGTCGGCGTTCTTCCTGTAGGCCAAACTCAGAGCCCACACAGACACCACACTGTACACATTATCTCTGACCCAGGCGTCCGGGTGATCAGGGCTGCCAGGGAGGAGGCCTGTCACTGGGTCCTAACAGAGAGACAAGGGGTTAAAGAGAGGAGGGTTGAGCGCTTATGGGTGAGGAAAAATCACAGGTTATGTTTTGAACTTAAAGGTGCATTGTAACTTTTCTGGTGGAGGATCCATCAAATGTTTTGCTCCATGGAGATGTTATTGCGTCGTGTTTCACAGTATGTACCTATTTTCATAGAGACCAAACCAGACCAAGTTACAGGTAAGATCCTGCAACCCAGCTCACTGTCAGAATGCATGTTTTTCTAGGTATTTTTGAGCCATAAAACCAACTGTAATTTAATAAATGTACGGTAGAGCTGTTTAATGACATAGTGTGGAATATTCCAGGCAGAACAATAACATCTCCAAGCAGATGGCAGAAAAGTTGCACAGTACAACTTTAAAGAAGACATACTGCGCTTGTGTCGACGATATACTGTAGTTATAAACCCATGGATCACAATGTTATAATTTGGACATTTTAAATCTCAATACTGATTCAAAACATCTTAATAAAAGAATTAACTCCGCTGACTTCCACATTACAAAAGTGTGATGCCCAAAGGAGCCGATGTCCAGAATAAACATAACAACAAAGAGTCGGGTATCTATAGGGCTGGGTATCATGAAAAATTGCTGATACAATACATACCTCAATACATAGGCCACGATACAATACATATCTTGATACAGCGCACTTTCAATTCAGTATGATGTATTTCAAGAATTTCATTAAAAAATAAAGAATAGTTCATGGCTGTGATCCTAAAAGTCTTTGTTAAACCACTTCTTGTGCAAAGTGAATAAAAAAAAAAAAATCAAAACAGTAAAAATGTCAAATGAGTCATGAACAAGTTTCCTTACTCTAAACATGCAACAAAAGTGTAGCACTGTAAAAATATAATTTAGTAAAATATATCTAAAAATACTCTTGGCAATATATCGATACAGCAGCTCACGATATCAATACTGTGTCATCACATTGAACAATATTTTGATATTTTTGCACTCCCCTAGGCAGCTATGGACCAAATCCTACGTGTAATCCGAAAATGACAGTTAAAACAAGACTTGATCAACAAAATGGCAACTTGAAATCAAGCATTTAAAGAATGCTTAAACATGCATGAATCACTCCAAACAGAGTGCGGCGTGAGTAAATAGTGAGGGGGAAAGAACTGTAACATGGTGAAAAGCTCTGACAAGATTTAAAATGTCCAAATTTTAACGTAATATGTGTCATAGATTATAACTTAACAGCAAATATAAACACTATTTTACATCACTCAGCGCGGCGGTACATAAAGGATTGCGGAAGGAAGTGAATCTTAAATATTATAAATAGAATTCGGTCGATTTCTAAGACTCCGAGTGAAGTTAATGCTCAGGGCCAGAGCCAATGTCACATCACAAGAGTTACAGCCGTGATCTGCAGACTCAGCCCGAAACACTGCAGTAGTCACACTCTAACGCTCTACTTCCCTCTCTTTTTTTATTTCACTCACTCCATACCTCCATTCTTCATCTCTTTCTCTCCCTCCTACCTCTCTCTTCCTCTCTCTACTCATCAGTCATCTCTCAATCCGCAACCTTGCTCCTCTTTCTGTTCTTTTAACCCCCTCCTCCAGCTCCCTTTCTCTCACTCACGCTCCGCCACCACCTTCCTCTCATTCTCTTCCTCCTGTCTCTCTCACTTTTTCCTGTTTCTTTATTTACTTCCCTTCTCCCTCCTTCTCTTTCTAACTGCCTCCCTTCTCTCTCACTCACTCCCTCCATAACTGTTCTCTCTGACTCACTCCATGACCTTGCTCCTCTGTTCTTTCAACCCTCTCCTTCTCTCTCACTCTCTTCCCCTCCCTCCTCATCACTTTTCTCTCTATCCTCTTTCGCTCTCTACATCATTCTTCTCACACTTCCCTCCTGTTTCTTCAGCTCCCTTCTCCCTCCATCTCCTCTCTCCTCATCACTCTTCTGACTCCACATCCTCTGTTTTTCAACCTCCTCTTCTCTCCTCCCTCTCTCTCTCTCCCCCACTCTTCTTTCTTCTCCTTCCCTCTTACCCTCTACCTTTTATTTATTGTCTCTCCTTTTCTCTCCTCGTGATCTCTGTCCCTTTTCCTTCCCTCTTGCTCTCCCCATCTTTCCTCTTGCCCTCTATCTCTCTCTCTTTTTTTCTCCAACCCTGTTTTCATTCTGTCCTCCTCCCTACCTCTCTCTCTCTCTCTCTCTCTCTCTCTCTCTCTCTATCTCTCTCCTCTAAATCTGTTTTTCTCTCTCACCCAGCCCCCTCCTCCTCTCTCTCTCTCCTCCCATGTTTTGTCACTAATCTGGATCACAGATGAAAATCATTTGGACCTCTAATCCCACACTTTATTGCCAGATGAGGATATAATAGTAATTTCAAATGAATCAACTAAATTAAAAAACAAAACTAAAACAAAAAACACTCCTTGCTCCAACCTGTACATCTGGTTTGAAATCTTTTCAGGGACCAGAAGAAAATTAAAACACACCTTTTTGCTATAGCACTTTATAAACAGAAATCCAAATCCAAACATTTGTTATTATTATTATTATTTTAAGTCAGTTTACTACATATTGCATATAGTCATTTGAACTTAATTGTGTGTGTTATGTACATTACTGATTAACAATTTCTGCTAATCAATAATGCACATTTATTTTGTTGTATTTGACTTTGAATTTTACCAAAACTAGAATTTATGGTATGGCAGTAAAAGGCGTAAAGGGCTTATAGTACGCCATTTTCTGATGCATGTTATAATGTTGTTTCCTCATCACAAACATACCTAGAGTTGAGTTCTGTTCCCTTCATTCACGCATGTTTGACACAAGATCTGTTCCACCTTGTGATGTCATGCGGTAATATAAGAATTGGTCCACTGTGTTTTTAAACTCTGCTCTGAAACTAACTCAACAAAAGGTAAAAGGAGCTGTGAACTTGAAAACAACAATTTGGAAGAGCGCATTTTGAGCTTTGGAGATGTAGACAGACTAATAATAAAGGATTACTCAGACATACACGCATGGATGAAACAAAATAAAACTCCAGATATGTTTTTGATGAGGTAACATTATAACATGCCTTAAAGTTCACAAGAGTCAATTTTGTGTGCTTTACTATATGATCTTTAATACACATTTGTTAGCTTTGCCTTGTCAATACCCCTTGCAGTTTGTATTGTGGTTGGGTACATTGCATGAAGTGTGTAAACTTGCGCAAGCCCCCTACTCCATGTTAGCAACTCCACTGACATTTAGACAAACCACCACCTCAAATAGCACCTTTTTACTATTTAAAACCTCTAAAGTCCAGTTCTAAACACTCACTTGGTGCTGCAGGATCGTTTGGTGCACGATCCGAGCATAGTTATCCAACTTTACCCCCGAGTTGCTTCTACTTCTCATGGTTCACGGGTTGTCAGTCCAGTCGAGCTAAAAAATAAACTTTAAGTGCATTTCTCTGGTTGTTTTGGAGGTTATAAAAAGCAGAAGTAATAGGTTTAATCCGGGGGCGAAAGGCAGCTGTCCACCTTTCTGTCAAAAACCCACCAACAGCAGCGTGTGCTGACTTCTCGGGACGTAACATGAGACGGGTCCCGGAGGACTCACTTTCAAAATAAAGTTATTATTTTTGCATTGTAATAAAGCACAAAACTGCCTTATGCAGTTATTTTTTCTTTATTAACAATAATACGTATATTTATTTAATACTTGGTTGTTTGAAATGTAATAGATGCTGTTGTATTTTTTTAAAGAATGTGTTTTTTTTATACACTAAAATGATATGTTTTGGGGTTACTACATGATAATTACTCATTAAAATGTGTTGTTTGATAATAATATTAATATTCCATTCTAATCTTTAAGTAAATGTAGGTCTGGATAATATTGAAATCTTTCAAAGACTTCATCTCCCAGAAAGCCTTTCACTCCTTTAACGTCTCACTTTGAAACATCTGTGGCGAAATTGTAGATTTAAGTGTTTTGTAGCTTTGTTTTAACGAAAACAAAAATCACAACACGTCTTATAAAAACAATCACATGTAATAAAGTCCATATTATGTGTTTTACGGGGTTTATTTGAATCATTTGTTGGTAGGAACCCTAACAAGGACATCTAGCGTGTTGGGGGAACCGTTTGGTTGTGACACAAATTCAAAGCCATCGTTTCACATCTTTCCGCTTTTGTTTTACAACATAAACATTCCCCCCTTTTTTTTGTCTTTTTATTGTTTTAAATGAGTTGCAGAGAAAACAGTGACGATGACAGCTCCAGTAAACGCAAAGTGTGTTACGTTTATAGTCCGGAATATATCGAAAGATGCGATAGTTTATCCAAAGTACCAAACCGGGTGAGTCCAGTGAATGAGTTTTGAGGATCTAGGTCTAGATTGAATCAAAACCAGATTATAACCAGATTTATCGGAATGTTTCTGTTGCAGGCGAGTATGGTCCACTCCCTGATAGAGGCGTATGGTCTGCTGCAACACATGAGGTCAGTTTGGACGTAATAAAGCTAATTTTACCCTGTAATAGCTAATAACTGAATGTCTTAATTTAAGTTAGTGCACTGATTTTGCCTTTATTACATTTTTGTGCCATTTTAAAGGTGCATTGTGTAACTTTTCTTATGAAGGGTCTGTCAAATGCTTTTCTCCATGAAGATGCTATTGCTTTGTCTGGAATGTTATAGTCACAGTATGGCATAAAAACCTTTCTATCATCATGGAGATCAAACCAAACCATGTTCAGACCTAGGTCAGATCTGTGGAGTGCCTGTTTTTCTAGTTTTTCTTTTTGTTTTTTTGTTTTGTTTTTTGGAGCTATAAAACCTTGAAGTTGAATAAATGTATAGCCGTTTAATGTCATACTGTGGAACATTCCAGGCAAAGCAATGACATATCCATAGAAACAAGCAGAATGACTGACCCCCACCCAAAAAGTTACACAGCAAGTAAGTATATGTTATATATTACTTACTTACTGTTATGGTTTGATTCACTTGTACCAGCTATTTTAGGTGTATTTTAATATGTTGTAATGATAATGAATAAGTAGAAAAACTGTCAAAAACATTGGATAATTTATAAGCATATAAACTAAATAAAAATAAACTGGTGTGGGGACATTTCCAAGCTGTTTATTTTAATTTTCAATACCAGAGCCCTGAACCAGATGATAAACAAACTCTGCAGCGTACCTGTATTCCTACTGCTCTATGTTCTCACAGCTCTGTTTTATCAAAATTAAAAGATATTTTTGAAAGTAAACCTTTATCTGTACCCTGGACCTATTTAATAATTAAAAAGCAAGAGGACCTCACCTTTTACGCAGTGATAAAAGTCCGAAAAGGGAGAGTATTAGATCACTAAAAGGGAACAATATTTATGAAAAAGCAAATACTGGTTTCCATGCAAAACTGTTTTATTGCACATTTTGTATTTACTTACAATTTAAATCTATTCTAAATGTTTGCAGTATTGTGAAACCTCGAGTGGCGACAACAGAAGAAATGGCAAAGTTCCACAGTGACTCGTACTTAGAACATCTTCATAAAATCAGCGAAGACGGAGACAATGATGACCCCCAGTCTGTAGACTTCGGACTGGGTACAAACATTTCTTTACTCTAAACATTTTACCATAAACTCTATACAATTATACAGTTCATGCATTTTACCTGTTTAGAACTTTAGTATTTGGGGCTGTTTTTAATTCTCAAGCCATCTGTCCCTGCCCTCTGGAACTCATTCTTCACCAAATTAGTAATCCAATCAAATGAATCCAACCATTTAAATCAAAGCCACAATGTGTAACTTTCTGGCAACAGACTAAAATAAAATATCCCTTTATTGCACTGAAAACACAAAAAGATGCATTCTTATTGTGAGTGGGCTTGCATCTCCACAAACCTCATTCATTCTGCTTGTTTCCATTGAAATGCTATGTTATAATATTCCCTGTAGTTTGGCATTAAACATATATATCTCCATGTAGAATATTCCAGTGTATGGTTCTGTGAATTTTGTTCACTGTCATTGGAAAAAAAGAATCTGATTCTGATAACTTTCTTTTTCCACGTAGTCAGGCAGATGACGTGCCACCTCCAGAAAATTATATAGTGTACCTTTAAAGATTGCTCAAATAAATGTGTCTTTTTATATGATTAGTTTTTAGATTTTAGTTATTGCTTACATAGGGTGACTACATTGAAAAACATGGCAAATTCTTGTCTTGTTCATATTTTAAACAGCAGAGGGCAGTGTTTCACCATAACGTTTGTTGGGCAATGACTAAATCTACTAGTAATTTGCTTGTTCAGATGCAGATAACAAATGCAAATTGTTGCCATGATATTAAATTATATTATAATAAATTATATTAAAATTTCAAACTTGATTTCGATACTCAGTACGGTACCAGAATGATAGTCAAAAAACACTCTTTATTTAACATACATACAACATAAAATTGTAGTACTTTCTTATATATTAACATTAACATTAATTTATACTTGTGTTTGACTTTTTTAGTATTGATACCTCCTCAAAATGAATATCTAGTTTTGATACCCATTTTAGTATTGATTAGTATTTGATTTTTGATATTTTTGACAACCGTAATACAAACAAATAAATTTTTTTTTAAGTATTTGTAACTAGAAATAGGAATTGTTTAAAAATAAAAATAGCTGAATTAAAATTACTTTTGATTCTAAAATTCTCCCCATTAGAAAATTATTATCAGTTCTTACGGTTATAAATAATGCACTGTTTATTGATTTAATGACTTGTCCTGGAATGCACAACTCATTTGTTTTCAGACATTAAAAATAAGAACTCTTTTTACGTGTGGAAAAATAGTGTAGGTATTCCTTGTTGATGTTTTTCTAGAACAGTACTCTTCCCTGGACTTTTGGTGAATCCTGGTTGAATCCGCTGCGTTGTCACTTCCTCCTTTTGTGTCTTCTCTGGTCCATCCTTCCTCTCCCTCTCTCCGCCCTTCCAGGAATTTACTATAATTTTCCAACTCAAACCAAAAACATATTTCTAGAATTCTTTTTTCTGAAATTATCTTTGGAATTGTTACAGAATATTGACATTTAGACATAACAGGAAAACAGACATCAGGATTTAACACAAACCTTTTTGAGAAGTAGCATCGCAAATTTAAAGGTGCATTGTGTAACTTTTCTGGTGGAGGGTTGTCAAATGCTCTTCTTCATGGTGATGCTATTGCTTTGGCTGGAATTTTTCAAAATATGGCATTAAATCTTTCTATCTTCATGGTTACAGGTCAGATCTATAGAGAGGTGACCCCGTTCTCATTAAGAGTGTATGATGAAAAGAGAAGATCATTTATAATTAAAAAATGTATTAATTAATAAAATAAATAAATAAATAATAATAAAGCGGAGGAGCTGGAGGACATGTCTGGGGTGAAGGAAATTGTGGGAGTCCCTGCTTAGGCTGCTGCCCCTGCGACCCGGCCCCGGATAAGCGAACGAAAATGGATGGATGGATGGAATAATAAAAAAGAAAAGGGAAGTAAAGAAAGGGGGAAGTAAAAATACATTTATTATGCTGTAAGACTCTAGTGAAGAGATGATGAAAGGATACGATTATGGTGAAAATAATATCATAGTAACATAGTAGTGACTAAAAGTGTTTATTAAAATGGGGAAAAAAAAGAAAGGAAAATGATAAACTAGGCCAAAATATATAAATATAAGGGGGGCTAGCAGTATGGTTATGCTGCACTACCACATTACTTTTAAATGTATTTACTTCATTTTGTGTGTGTGTGTGTGTGCGCGTTTGGGGGGAAGAGGTAGGTTAAGGGGTGGGGAGCTTTGTAGTTTTATGTTTGTTTTAGGTATTGTTTTATGTATTTGTGTCTTGTTTTCATGTTTTTATTGTATTTTGTTAAATGTAATTTTTATTGTAAAGAAAAAATACGATAAAACTTTGAAGGAAATAAAAATACCTGTATTAAAATAAATAATAACGATGTATCAGATCTATATAGTGTAGTGTCCAAACTGTGGTCCTCGTGTCTTCTGCTAAACCAGTTGTATCATTTGGTTTTGATTCTTAGACTTTATTCAACATTTGGTCCTGTTGTTTTCCAGGATACGACTGCCCCATTGTGGAGGGCATCTATGACTATGCCGCAGCAGTAGGGGGCGCCTCCATCACCGCGGCTCAGGCGCTGCTTGACGGGAAGTGTGACGTGGCCATTAATTGGGCTGGGGGCTGGCACCATGCAAAGAAGTAAGGAGCAAACAGTAGTGAAGGATGCTGCTGTTTTCCCTATAGGAACAATATAGTGTACCTATAACTTAAAGATACACTATGTAACTGCTAAGATGGAGGGTCCGCTACTTGCCTGTTTCCATAGAGATGTTATTTCTTCACCTGGAATGTTTCACAGTAGGGCATTAAACATATCTGCCATCTATTTATTCAACTGCAGGTGTTGTGTAGCTCAAAAATACATAAAAAAAAAAACATGAATTCTTACCATGTGCAGACTTGCTTTTCCATAGATTTATTAACCAAGTTTATTTCCATACTGTGAAATAATCAAGGCAAAACTCTCCTTGGAGACAAGCAGGTGACAGACCCTCCACCAGAAAAGATACACACTGCTTCTTTGAAGCTGGGGTACAAGACTTTTTTTTTTTAATGAATACATTTTGAGTAATACCAGCACAAACCAGACTGCTGTATACTGTTTGCAGATAATAATTAAGTGTTTTTATTTCTGATTAACCTTGAAGTTATAGCCGATATAGCAGTGCTCTGATTGGCTGTGCTTGGGTGGTCTACCCCAGTTTAAGTTTTTCAGTCTGTAAAAGCTGTTGTGAAGTTTTTCTTTCCTCCTTTTGTGGCATGAAAATAACCCCAGCTGGAATTGCAATCGATTCAAATTTGCTGTCAGAATTTGCAATGCAATTAGTGATAGAATATTCTCTGCAAACAATAAATTACCTTAACTTATTCTGTGTAAAAGCTGCTAACTCTGTAGTTTAAACCTTTACAAACATGTTCTAAAATGTTCCTATGTGTCAGATGCCCTTCCCTGTGAGTCAGATCCCCTCCCTGTGTCTCCATTAGGTCTTATTCTGTAACTCTGTAGTTTAGACCTCTACAAACATGTTCAGAAATGCCCCTGTGTGTCAGATGCCCCTCCTGTGTGTCAGATGCCCTCGCTTAGTTCACAGTTTTCTCTCTTATTCTCTCAGGGATGAAGCTTCTGGTTTCTGTTATGTGAACGATGCAGTTTTAGGAATCCTCAAACTGAGAGAGAAATACGAGCGTGTGCTTTATGTGGACGTGGACTTACACCATGGAGATGGTACACAGTGAAACACACACATCGCTTTTTTGTCCATTGTTTTATTTATAATTTACTTTTCATTATTTCTTTTCCTGTAGGTGTGGAAGACGCCTTTAGCTTCACATCCAAAGTCATGACCGTTTCTCTACACAAGTTTTCACCTGGATTCTTCCCTGGTTTGTATTTTGTTTTAATAAAATAAATGGTATTTATAGTAGGTATTGGTACATACTTTAGGGGCTCATATTAAGCTATTATCTGATATAATGTTGTTTCCTCATCATAAACAGACCTGAAGTTGTGTTTTGAGGGAACAGCATCCTAACATGGCATAAAGCTTATAAGAGTATTTTGCACAATATAGGACCTTTAAAGTTGTAGTATCTAAATCTGTATTGGACCATTTCTTCTCAGGGACAGGAGATGTGAGTGATACAGGTCTGGGTAAAGGCCGATGGTACGCCGTCAATGTCCCAATGGAGGACGGTATCCAAGACGACCGCTACTACCAAGTCTTCACCAGGTACAGAACACATTCCACACATCCACGCCACACACTACAAGTCACTATTGTAGCCACAGATGCCCTGGGACAGACTGACAGAAGTGAGGCTGCCTCTCTGCACCATCGGCCCCTCGCACCACCAACACACACACCGCATTCATAAGAGGCAATGTGGGTGAAGTGTCTTGCCTAAGGACACAACAACTAGGTCTATCACGATCATAGTCTGTATACATAAATGGACATAGCTAACCCACTCTTCCAATCAGGAAGTGTTCAGGGGGGAGCCAAAAGCTATGAGTGACGTCACATTCCCTTATTCCATATCTTTATACAGTCTATGATTCTTACCTGGTGTGTTCCCCCAGTGTCCTGCAGGAGGTGTGGTCGACCTTTAACCCCGAGGCCGTGGTGATGCAGCTGGGGGCAGACACGATGGCGGGGGACCCCATGTGCTCCTTTAACATGACCCCAGTGGGCGTGTCCAAGTGCCTGCTGTACGTGCTGCAGTGGAGGCTCCCCACCCTGCTGCTGGGAGGAGGTAACGCACCATAGGACTGAACCATTCTGGAAAATATCAACAGTCTGAGGAGGGACAAACAAAGAGACAACTGTGGATCATTTTATGTCCCCCAGAAAGACTAATGCTTTATCTTAATCTTAAACAGATTAATGCTGAATTTGCTATTCATCGTATATAAACTTGACCTATCTGTGTCTCCAGATATGAGGTAAACATGTTCAAATCAAATTTAGCTTTTATTGATCACAGTTACAATGGTGATTTATTCTTAAGTACAAAAACATAGGACATGATGTTCCTCTTATTTAGTTCATCAGACAATTATCCAATCAGAAAGCAGAATGAGCCTCATATGATTAATGATCATGAATCAGCGCTAGTGCAGCCTCTGCAGCTCAGTGAGTAAATTCTATGGCGTACATTTGCTTTAACTCTCATGCTGCCCTCTGTCTGCAGGGGGGTATAACCTGGCCAATACGGCACGCTGTTGGACGTTCCTCACGGCTGCAGTTTTGGGAAAGACTCTCCCATCTGAGATCCCAGACCACGAGGTACCACCACCGCCACACACTCACACTGTAATAAACAGACTCGCACGCACACACATGCACAGTACACATACACGTCCATGAGGTACCTGCAGTATAGTTTCACTATAATAAATACACACACATAGAGACACACGCGCAAAGACACACACATGCTTTGGTTCCACAGTAACAACACACGCTCACACACACACACACACACACACGCACACACACTAGGGATGGTCAATTGGAATTGAATCAGAATTGCAATTTGAATGCACACAGTTAGCAAATTCGTTTTTTAAGGCTCATAATTTCCTTCACAAACACCAAAATATCCAATCCTATTCTGCATAAAAACTTCTGCATACACACATATATATATATATATACACACACACACACACACACACACACAGACATACACAGTGAACACAAAGCCTTCTATTGTGTGACTGTCTCAAAACCTGAACACTCGTCTGTGTTTCACTTCTGCTGAGTCACCCACTATAATCAAAGATGGCCGCCCACGTCTGCGACACAGGTGAAGCCTCTGTGTGAAAGGGGGGAGAGAGGAGAGGGAGAGGAGAAGGGAGAGACAGGTAAAGCCTCTGTGTGAGAGAGGGGAGCGAGGGGGAGAAGAAGAAGAGGAGGAGAGAGGAGAGGAGAGAGACACAGGTAAAGTCTCCGGAAGGGGGAGAGAGGAGAGTGACAAGTGAAGCCTCTGTGCGAGACAGGGTGAAGAAGAGAGAGAAGGAGGAGAGAGGAGACAGAGCTGAAGCCTTTGTGCGAGGAGGAGAGAGTAAGAGAAGAGGAGGAGGAGAGAGATAAACAGGTGAAGCTGCTGTGTGAGAGAGGGAGAGAGTGAAAGAAGGAGGAGAGAGGAACAGGTGAAACCTCTGTGTGCGAGGGGGAGAAAGGAGGAGAAACAGAGAGAGAGGGGGACAGGTGAAGTCTCTGTGTGCGAGGGGAAGAAAGGGGTAAAGAAAGCGAGAGAGTGAAGGAGAGGGAGAGGAGGAGGGAGAATGAGTAAAGTGGGAGAGAGAGAAAGCACAGAACTCCTCTGTTCTTGAACCACAACAGTCCTGGTGCTGTTTGAGACCTGCGCTGGATCAGGACCTACAGCCCCTTTCAACACCAACTCAATTAAAAGTGACTCCATTTTTTTATTTCTGTATATTTTGTACTCTCTAAGACTCTCTAAGATCATTCTAAAGCTTCACCTCTGTCCCGTGAATGGGACTTTTTTAATACCAATACCTGCTCAAATGAATATCTAGTTTTGTTTTAGTTTAGTTATTAGTTTTAGTATCGATTAGTATCTGACTTTTGATACTTTTGACAACCCTATTTTGTGTATTATGTTTTAATTAAGTCATCCTCTTTGGCTGTTTTCAAATCTATGTTATAACAAAAACAGACCTGGAGTTGCGTTTTGTTTCATTCACACGTTTAACACAGAAATCCTGCATATTTAGACTGAGTTCTTCTCTCAGACAGGAAACACTGATACGGGAAGTGCTCCACTGTGTTTTTAAACTCCATACACCTTCACTAGAATCATTTGGATGATTTCAGTCCTGGAGTTTCCGATCGCTACTGAACTAAAGGTAAGAGGAGCTGTTAACTTGAAAACTGCCGCTTCATGACATCACAAGGTGGAACAGAGCATTTTGAGCTTTGGAGATGTAGACAGACTAATAATAAAGGATTACTCAAACATGTGAATGAAACAAAACATCACTCCAGGTCTGTTTTTGAAGAGGAAACATTATAACATGATTTAAAGCTCACAAGAGTCAGTTACGCATAATATAAGACCTTGACATTGATTTATTAGTCTGAAGTTATTGTTAATGATTTCAGGCCATTTTATTATGTTTCTATCCCACTACATCATGTGAAACTATAATTTCCATTACTCATTTTGTCACTACACAATTCTTATCTTTTTTCCAATTCAACTCAGTGTTTACTTTTTGGGCAGCACAAGAGATTAAAAATAGAATTAAATAACATCATTATTCAGAATTGGGAAGTCCCTTTGACAATAGTGCTTTTTATTCTTGATTAGCAGACTAAATATAGATAAGTTTAAACAATAGCGCTCCTGGTTTCAGTTATTATGCTGTGATATCTTATAAAAACATGTGTCATGCCATGTGGCGCAGATCTGGTAGGGTCAGATGTCATTAACCTCCAGCAGTGACTTGTATTGTCCAAAGAGGCGCCTGATCCGCGTCAGCCTCCATTGTGTGATAGCACTGGAGCCAATCTGCCTCACGATCACAGACGAAGGACTAACCAGGACTTTTTCTCTAGTTTTCCTTGATATTTGACTTTTTAAAATAGTTTTTAGGGTTATCAATTTTCAGATAAATTGAATTGGTAAAATAATGTAATAATGTTTTATTTTAATCACATCATAATCATATTTTGCCATCCTCCAGAATTCCAGAATTGGCTGAAAAGGTATTGGTTTAAATTCATTATTAAATTAAATTAAAACTATTTTAACTTTTTTTTTTTTTTTTTTTTTTTTCATTTTCTGGGGTATAGAAACATAGGTAATAGGTAACAGGTAAAATAGCTAAATAAACTTGTTGTTATTACTGGTATTAACATTTTTTGCAATCTACCTGAAAATGTGCTAAAATGTCCGTATATGTTTTGATTTACATGTTAATTTTAAATTGTATTTTTGTATAAAAATTACAAAATTGGAGCACTACACTGGATCAAAAAACGTACGCATACAGGTGCTCATCAATCTGGAGGGCTAGATTCTCGTAAAATAGAAAAATGATGGCAGAGGCACTCTGATTTGCGGTGAATTTATTAAAAGTCACGCCAACGCGTTTCGACTACTGGGTTTTCATCAGGGCTAATTGAGTGAGCAGCAGGTGTGACCATTTAGTTAAAAACTAAAAAAAAAAAGAAAGTCAAATTGCTCACTCAATTACCCCTGATGAAGACCAAGTAGTCGAAACACGTAGGCGTGACTTTTAATAAAGCTACAAACTATAGGAAATTTGTTTTAGTAATATTTACATGTTTATGATATCTTAATTTTTTATTTAGAATATTTTTTTTTTTTCAACAGCTGAAATAACATAATTCCAAAAATACAAAATACCAACTTGTGTTTTTGAAAATTTATCCTGTTTAAAAATTTTGGAATTTGTTTGTAATGTTGAATGTCAAAAATTACTCTGATCCTGTAGAGTCACTTCACGAACTTCAAATCTTCAGTATTTGCGCTTTGACCCTGTTTTTGTCTCATATTTAGTTTTTGTTTCTCCCAGAGTTCCTTGCCTCTGTGCTTCATGCATCGGGTGGCGGTGTGAACTCTCACCACAAAAACTCACTTCCTGTTTCTACTGTGTCCTTCCTGAATCTACTTTAGTGAAGTCAATAAAACTGTAAACATGACATCAGCACATTGTATCCTAGTTTAAACTCTTGATTCTTACGGTTCATATCTCTGTAATTACTGGGCCTATCAACATGATACAAAAACTGGTACAATGTTCAACATCTTCTTTGTATAAATAAACAAAAGTCCAATTATTTTTCACAATAGTTTCAGAAAGCGGTGCCATTATTCAAATCCAAAGACGTGAGTATTGTCAGCTGAAAGGACTTCAAGACGTAACATTAATATGAGAAGTCTGTGGAGTTGATCCCAGACAAATAATGCGAAGGTTCAACATTTTTGGATCGTAAGTTTGGAGATTTATTTCAAGAACAGTGAATCTCCAATATTGATATGTGTGATGCTAACTGTAGGCCCTGCTCTGTCTGAAGCTCTGTTAGACTTTAATCTGAGCTTTGTTTTATCACAATCTGACCAGAAAGAAGTACAACAGGAGAGCTAATTTGTGCTGTTAAACAAGTCTCTCCCACATAAAATTACAGTCAAAAGCTGCCTTTTTGTTGAAAATTAAACTCCTAAACAGGACCATGAACACTTGTATTGATCGCAGGCTCCTGAAAATGTGTAGTTTAAATCCATTTTGTGTTTTTTCTTGAGTTTTCAGACTCATAAAACCTTTTTTGCCAGTGTTTGCTAATATGTGCATTGTGTCACCATGGTAACGTCTGAACATTTCGCCATAGAGATACATGTAGAACACCCCCAATGTGATGTAACTGCAAAGTATCAGTAACATAACTTCATATATTTAGCACATATTGTATTCAAAATATATGAAGCTGCACTGTAGTTTTAAACCGGATAGGAGTCTGTGTGGGAGCCTGGATTTAGCAAAGGATGTGTCACTGCTTCCTCCCTCTTCGCTTCCTACTTCCTTGTTTCCTGTCTGCATCCTACTTCCTCCTCACTGCGCCCTTTTCCTCGGAACGACATCACGCGGACGCCATTGTGTCCAACGGAAACGCCACGCTCTGTTTACGGATATCACGCGCACATTTAGGAATAAGCTGCGTTCTGAACCTTCTAGAATTTGATCTTGATTTCAGATGGAGGGAGGCGCCTGTGTAACTCTAAATGACAGAGATATGAACCATAAACCGGGTGAACAAATTTGCAATCTGACAGTTACACAACAAACTCCACCTGAGAATTGGGACCTGGCCTTACATAACTGAACTGTGTTTCTCAGTATGTCCCCATAGTGACTTGGAGTTTTCCTGTCTTGTTTCTGTTCGACCACTTTGATTTTTTTTCTCTGTTCTGAAGTGAACTTGTCCTTAGTTCAGGGACAGCGTGAAGCAGAGGATCTGTGACTCAGCTGAACTTTCCATATACCTCCTGTGTTTATATAATCCTCTCACTGCTTCATAAGTACATCTTAAATATCTCCTGAAACATGGCAAATAGTGGGTATTCTTGTAGGGTTATAAACTCTTAGCCTCTGAACTTGTATTTAGAGTAATTCATGCATGTTTAAGTAGTTTTTATTTTCCTGTATTCAAATTTGCTCTACCCCCCAAACACGCCCACTGATTAGGACTGGGCGATTTTGTCCGAAAATTAAATTGATATATATATTTTTTTC